AACATCGTTGGCCTGATTTGCCTGTTTGCAAAAGGCCAGCTATAACACTTGTCAGGACAATGGTCTGATGGTACAGTTATAGAGACTTCTTCCTGTCCATAATTTGTTGTTGTCCACCCACATGTTACATTGTTTTCCTCTAGAACACTGCCCACCTGCTTTCCTCCAACACATTCTTCATCAGGAAGAACACATACATATGAACATTGTGAACAGACATTTCTATTTTTTTTTCTGTTCTCCGTACCAGTGGTTTTCAAATAACAAGGCGACAGGCCTCTTTGAAGTCTGTTGGTGCGACACACTTCCATTTTGTACTACTAGATATTTCTGCACTATTCCTTATGGGGTCACGACCCTGTCAGTTCACTTTCCAAAGGGTTTATACCAAATTGTGGAAGCGTCTGCTGTTGCTGCCCATTGCTTTTTAAGCTAGCTTTCAGTATCTTGCTTACTCTTGTGGGTTCTGGGACCCCATTTTGGGGACAACCAGAATAGACCCACTGCCTCTCCAATAATTATATTGTAGGAGTCAGCTAACTGGAGGCATCCTTTGAAGTCAGAGTTCATCTGTCTGAGAGGCAAGGAGCCAAGAGTCTGCATATGGATAAGCCAGATCTGTGAATGCAACACTCAGGTTCTGGAACAAGACAACAGTCTGGAGGTGGGCAGCTGATACAGAGTTTACAGGCGGTCAAAGACCAGAAAAAAAGAGTATGCTTAGTAGAAGAAGTATCTTCCTAAATTGGAAAGGCCTGCCACGACTGGGGCAAACACCAGTGTTCTAGCTGGGTCTGCTCTATGTGGCCTAACTTGTACGAGCATCAGGACATAGCGGATTTCATCAGTCAACACAACATCATCTACAGAACATGCTCACAATCATGACAAGAAAGGATGTGTGCCTGTTCAGCTAGGATATCCCTAGCCAAACACAGCAGCTGTAGGATATCCTTAGCCACACACAGCAGCTGTAGGATATCCCTAGCCAAACTCATCAGCTGTAGGATATCCTTAGCCAAACACAGCGGCTGTAGGATATCCCTAGCCAAACACATCAGTTGTAGGATATCCCTAGCCAAACATAGCAGCTGTAGGATATCCCTAGCCAAACAGAGCAGCTGGATTCACCAGCTGAAGTAGGCCTACTGTTGATGTGCAGTGTTGGAAGAAGACTTATCCAGAAACTCATGTTTACTTGGAGTTAGGAGAATGACATTGCTTACTTGTGTTGTCTTCTTACAGTGTGTAACATATATGTCAACAAATGGCAGCACAGACGTATGTGACAGATTTACAGGTCATGAGTTCAGCAGCAGCTCAGGTCAGTGACCTTGTCTGAGTCATTCTTGTCCATTTCTGTAGGAGAGTCCCTCAGGACATCCTCAATGTGAATCACAGATGGGTAGAAGATGTTGAGACTGACCTCTGCTACCACATTAAGATGTGTACAAGCAGGACATGAATGATACGTTATTGGAGTGGATTTGTGGGAACAAAATGCCATGGACCATGTTGTGTGGGGAGTACACATCAGGAAGGGAATGAGAAAGAAAAAAATGATTGCAGAAAGAAGAGAGCTGAGTGTCCGAGAAGAAACACACTAACAATAAAAACAATGAAAATAATGGCCCAGAAATCCCATGCTAGGATTGTGGAAGACTTTTCTTGACACGGGTGGGTCTTGCTAGTCACACTCGCCATCGCCATGGGCTGTGACTCATGCCTCCTTATAGTACACTGTTGTCTGGAAAGATGGAAGGGTGCCAACAGTAGACTGGTATACAGTTGCTTATTGTATTCCTTTGAAGTCTTGAGTGAATCTGCCTGAGAGGTGAGGAACCAGCAGTCAGCACACAAATAAGGCAGATCAGTAAAATGGATGTGCATGCAAAACTAAAGTTCTGAAAATTGACTATCCAGAAGTGGTCGAACAACCATAACTTTACACCTGACTTTACAGGCCAGCTGAAAGTTTTGGATTCAAATCCACATTAGGTTGGATTTTGTTTTCAAAATTGACCCTGGCTTCCAGGTCGACTCAACCTAAAATTAGTATCAGTTAAAGTCCTGGGAAGTAAAGATGACTGATATGTTTACCACATCACCTACCAAGTGCCAGATGGTCTTTAAAGCATGGTTCTGGCATCATATGCCCAAGATGCTACTTACATGAAAAAATTTCCCTCTCTAAAATGATTCTCTTTCTTGAATTGTGTATGGTGAAGAAATGAGTGGAATCATTGACTTTTTGTCTATGCAGAACGGGGCTGTTGTGAATACCTCATCAACAAACATCCAGAGCGGAGCACAAGTACAGAAGACAACCACAATGATACAGCCAACCCAGGCACACAGCGGCCAGCAGTACATTGTCACTAGTAAGTGCTGCCCACTGGTACCTCACAGTTTGTACTCACTTTGTCTGGTTCTTGTAGGCTTCTTGGTACTGTCAGAATTAGAACTTTACACTTGCCGCTGAAAATTGGGGGCAAAGCACTTAGGAGAATGTCTTTAAGTTCTGTTTTGTTAGTTATTAACTCAACTCTGAATTCATCTTAATCTTGTAGACTTCTTTGATGCTATTGATTTTGTCAGTGAAAGTTTTATTTTTGTTTTGTAAGGGTGAGTTACGTTTATATCCATGTTGAGGCAGACTTTTCTCAAACTGATTTTGACTTGCAGAACAGAAAGATGGCCGACATAATGTTGACCAAATCACCCCTTGATTGGTTATAAAAATATGTCTGCCACATTATGCCTGACGACCAAAGGGTGTGGAAAGGGTACTTTACTTACTTACTTGTAAGTACCAGCAAAGGATGTTTGTTGTCTGTCTACCAGCAAAGGATGTTTGTTGTCTGTCTACCAGCAAAGGATGTTGTCTGTCTACCAGCAAAGGATCTTTCCCTTTGTTCACTGACTAATGTCTGCCCAGGTACCATGCAGAAGGATGTTTTTCTGTCTACAACAGCAATTGTTAGATGAGTGTGTCTGTCCTTTTGACATTTGTCATTAAATCATGGTACCTTGAATCCATTAGTGTTTTCATCATTTTAAGCATTTGTTTGCATAGAAAACATTACCAAGGTGGCGGCGTATTAGTATGTGAGTACTCAAAAGCTTCACGGTCTTATCAAGGTGTGACGATTGTTTTTACATGCAGAAGAAAAACCGTATTCTTCTCTCATCCTAGAAATATGACGTTACATTGACCTCATCAGTGTTGAGTCCATGCTTGAATCTTCATCACACTTTGTTGACTCATCACACATGTTGAAGTGTTGACCAATCACACAGTGAAGTGTTGACCACACCACACATTGAAGTGTTGACCACATCACACAGTGAAGTGTTGACCACATCACACATTGAGTTCTTTGACCTCATCACACATTGGGTGTTTGACCACACATTATTGACCACATCACAAGTGTTGTCGTCTCACATGAAGTGTTGACCACATCACACAGTGAAGTGTGACCACATGTGAAGATGTTGACCTCATCACAGAGCAGCTGTGACCTCACACAGTGAAATTTGACCGCTCACACATTGAAGTGTTGACCACATCACACAGTGAAATGTGACCACATCACACAGTGAAATGTTGACCACATCACATTTGAAGTGTTGACCACATCACACATTGAAATTTGACCACATTTGTTTGACCACACCACACAGTGAAGTGTTGAAACATTCACACATTGAGGTGTGACCACACCACACAGTGAAGTGTTTTCACACATTGAAGTGTTGACCACACCACACATTGAAGTGTTGACCACATCACACATTGAAGTGTTGACCACTCACACATTGAAGTGTTGACCACATCACACAGTGAAGTGTTGACCACATCACACAGTGAAGTGTTGGCCACACCACACATTGAAGTGTTGACCACACCACACAGTGAAGTGTTGACCACACCACACAGTGAAGTGTTGACCACATCACACATTGAAGTGTTGACCACATCACACATTGAAGCGTTGACCACACCACGCATTGAAGTGTTGACCACACCACGCATTGAAGTGATGGCCTCATCACGCATTGAAGTGTTGACCACATCACACATTGAAGTGTTGACCACATCACACATTGAAGTGTTGACCACATCACACATTGAAGTGTTGACCACACCACACAGTGAAGTGTTGACCACACCACACAGTGAAGTGTTGACCACTCACACATTGAAGTGTTGACCACATCACACATTGAAGTGTTGACCACATCACACAGTGAAGTGTTGACCACACCACACATTGAAGTGTTGACCACATCACACAGTGAAGTGTTGACCACTCACACAGTGAAGTGTTGACCACATCACACAGTGAAGTGTTGACCACATCACACAGTGAAGTGTTGACCACATCACACATTGAAGTGTGTTGACCACATCACACATTGAAATGTGTTGACCACATCACACATTGAAATGTGTTGACTACATCACACATTGAAATGTGTTGACTACATCACACATTGAAGTGTTGACCACATCACACATTGAAGTGTTGACCACATCACACATTGAAGTGTTGACCACATCACACATTGAAGTGTTGACCACACCACACATTGAAGTGTTGACCACATCACACATTGAAATGTGTTGACTACATCACACATTGAAGTGTTGACCACATCACACATTGAAGTGTTGACCACATCACACATTGAAGTGTTGACCACTCACACATTGAAGTGTTGAATTGAAGGTCGGTGATCTATTTTAAAAACAAGAGTCTAGCATCATATGCCTAAAAAACCACTGGTGTAAGAGTTTGTTACTGTATACAACCCAAGAATACCATGGACAAGAAAAGCTTTTCACTGTTTTACCCTGTTGACCTACAGAACAAAGCCAGGCCCTTGTATTTTCCATATTTCTGGAATTTCCGAAAAAAATCCCTCATCACTTGTCACCAACAACAACAAAATCACGCACAAATAATGTATCATCAAAATACACAAGTAAATACTAGGCAGGGTAAGGGAAGTAATCAGTGAAATAAATGCAGCATAGAATCAACTGGCTTACTTCTCTTAGGAGCCTGTACACAAATAATACTTTGACCCGGGTGCCACTGTAGCAATGGGAAAAGTATAACATCAGAATGTCTGTTAATAGAGCCATTTTTTTTCTCTAAAAGAAAACCCTTTAAAATGCTATTTTTAGTAAAATGTTAAATCCCGTACCACACTAAATGTTTGCGCAATTCTGTTAGCTAGATGTCTCACAAACAAATCTCTATAAGGAGTTTGTAAAGTCACTCTTACAGGGAATTGGTGCCAGTAGGAAGTGTTGGTTTTGTGGCTTGTCGGGGTGATGAGGTGAAAACACTAGCTACTTTATGGAACTTGAGTGTCTTCCGGGAAAAATTAATCTCTAACATTAAATTGCCATTTCTATATGAATTAGAAACAGAGACAACAATTGAAACAATTTCAAATAAACTGCAGATATTCAGCAGTTCGTGAGTGTGAAGAATAGAAGGACAACATTGATCAGTGGGAATCAGTAATTGAAAGAACCAGACAAATACAACAAAATCTAGTGGGGGGGGGGGGGGGGGAGACCAAGCACACAGGTAGGACACAACTGAAGGAAATATTGTTATCATAGTGTCTAGAAAGTTTTTTCTCAGGCACTCACCGGGTAAAATAAATATAAGAAGATCTAAATCAGTTGAATGTAATTAGAGAAAGAGTTGTCAACCATCTTATGCCAAAATGTCCGGTCTTTTGTTGTCCCTTTGTCTTCTCCTGCTTAACCGCACAAGACTGGTTGTTTCTGGAAACTGTTCTCATGTCGTGTATACTTTATGTGCACTTTGTACAGCTGCAGCTTTGGACCACCAACAGCTGGCGGAGCAGGCCCAACAGGAAACTATCACCATCCAGCAAGCTGGACAGTCTGTTTACCCAGCTCACCTACAGTAAGTACACCGGTTCACTTATGCTCATTGCCTTATGGCCAACAACTTTATTTCTGTACTTTATTAACATTTCATTTTTCTGTCATTTGTTTTGTTGTTGATTGCCTGTTTTCTTGTTGATTGCCTGTTTTGTTGTAAATTGCTTATTTTGTTATTGATTGCCTATTTTGTTTGTTGATTATTTTGTTGTTGATTAACTGTCTGTTTTGTTAATTAAAATACAAATAATTTACAGTGAGATGTGTGGAGTTGAAGTGATGGGAATACCCTGGACAGATACAAAAGAGTAATAAAGATGTCTTGAAAGAAACTGACCCACAAAAAGAACTGATTGCCAACATCAGAAAGAGAATCTACATTCTTTGGTCGTGTCTGAGAAGGTCAAAACTGGTGTGCATCGTGACGGTGGGAAAGTTGGAGTGGAGGAGAGGCAGAGCGAGACCAAGAGAGAAGATGCTGTACAGTTTGACATCATGGCATGAAAGATCATCTATGTCAGTTTTGATTGAAAGTAGATGAGACAGAAGGTTGTGGATAGACATGACTACCAATGCTGCATGGCATGGACTTTGAGAAGATGAAAGTCTGCTAAAGATTTCAGGCTGTGTGACTAATGTAGTCACCATCAATTGTGCAGGTTGGGATTGTGTATTTTTATGTTTAGTATGCGTGCAGTGATCATGAACAGATTAAGTATGCACACCAAGGTACCAGTGTATTTATAATAAAGAAATCTGTGGTAGCTGTCCCCCTGTGAGAAATGTAAAAGACATGAACACACTAGTTAAGTGTGTCACACACATGTACACACACAGACACATACCCCACAGATGCCTGTCTATGATGTCTTGAAGTCAGCCATTTTCTGATGTTTCTGCTGCAGGGCCAAAGAACTGGTACTGAAGGCTAGGTATATTTTGTCATTTGTTTCTCTTTCTTTTTATCTTCAGTGATTCTCAAAGTGGGGGGGGGGGGGGGGGGGGGTGAGACCTGCCTTCTTAGGGACACTGGAAATGTTCAAGGGGATAGCAAAATATTTGAATTTGCAGTAGATAATTGTGCTGTAAGAAATGTTTGTATTTGTATATTGGGGTGCCAAGAATGTGAAGACCACATGTCTGAGGTAAGGTGACAGACTAAACAAGTTTGAGAATCACTGAGCTGAAACTTGCTAACTGTTATTTAATCTCTTATATGATAGCTGCTTCTTATAATTTCCTAGCTAGATCCATTAGTAGTGCAAACAGCATAATCTAGACTTAGCTTCACTTAGTATAGGAGAAGCTTATCGTTCCGTTCTTATTTGTAATATGTATGTTCATGTGTAGTCTTGATATTTAACTGCATGCTTGTGTATGTGATCTGCACAGAGTTGCTTATGCCTTGAGCCATAACATCTTTTTATAAAAGAAAATAGGTTAACAGACGTAATATTTGACCTTGAGCTATATAAGAGGCTCATTAGAGAAGTCCACCATTGCTGTGATATTTATAACAGTAACATTTGTATCCAGTTATTGTTCACAATATAACAGGCTCATTAGACATGGGTTAACAAATATGTGCACTGTATAGGAAGCTCAGTGAGAGAATAAACAGCTGCAGTATGTACAAGGTAGTCTTCATGTTCCGGTCATGTGTCCCAGTTTAGTGGCAAGTATTATCTAACATTTAGCCTCAATTACATCATTAGAAGGTTGCTTGATTGCATTCAAGTCACATCATTCTTTATCTACACACACATAGGTGAGCTGGGGGGAAAAAACTTGCAGACAGATTGGCTGGTGAATTGATGCATGGCTAGCTAGATATGGTTAGCACCTTTTGAGAGCAGGAGCACAATAAACAGATCATTGCCATGTGAAGAGACATACAGGGAGGACCAGGGGATTCTAACTGATACTGTGCACAGAGTCCGGTGAAACAGACATACATTCATACTTCTACTGGTATTGTCAGCATCATAACGGTCTGCTGGCTGCTGAAGAGACTGATGGAGCACTTATGGGAATATCCTGAGTGCTGTGATGCTGGTTTTTGATTAACTCAACACAAGAACACAGGCCACAGTTTGTCAGTCACATACATGCTGACGTAGGTCATAGTCTGTCAGAAGATATGTGAGCCCTGTTTTTCCATTCAGAAACAGTGATAAACTGTAGTTGTAGACCAGGTTCTAATACATTCAGTTTATGTAATGTTTACTGTTTGAGGACATCATAGTAATGATGACTACCGCTGTTAAAACAAAGGTTCATTTACATTATAAGTCCACTGATCAGTCTCTTGGAAATGTTATATCTAAATGTGTATTTATCACTCGAGATATGTCTATGTATGTTATTTTTTTCACTCAAGATAACAAGATACCTTAAAAATAACTTTGCTTTGGCTAGTGAGGTTGGGATTATGGTAATAAAATACCCAACAGTAACAAATGTGATGGTAATCTTAAGCAGATACTGTTGTAAAATGTCCTTGCTGCCTGTGTAAGAAATTCTGGAACAGCGTTAAAGCATTCAGTATCCATATTATGGCAGTGGATCAGTCCCACAGCCACCCTGGTTGAGGACAGAATCCTACTTTTATTTGGAATTGAACCCTAACCACTTTGCAACAGAAGCCTCCAGGAATAGTGACACAGTTGAGAGGAAACCTATAAAAGATATAAATGGAGAACACCACTGGAGATTTGTGGTCTGCAGGGGAACTGAAACATCAAACAGTAACTGTTGTTGTTTGGTTGTGCAGGCATAGCTATGGTGACTACAGCCAAGGTACCATGTATGCCAATGTTTCTGGCACTTATTACCACACACCCCAGGGGACACAGGTAAGCTGAAGTCTTCTTATATGTGCTTCTTGTTGTAAGCTTTTATCAAGTTCAGTTTTGTTTGCCTGGTAAACATTTTTGCGTTCAGTTTGGGAAAAGGAGAGGTTGGGGGAGGTAAATCTAGAGAAGAAAAAAAAATATTTTAGCAGCTGTACACTCTGACAGAAAGTTCTGGTTGTTTATCCACTTATGGACTTTAATCTTTTTACAGGACTTGAGTGTTTCGTGCAGATTTTTAAAACAGATCTAGCTTTATTTGTGTGCAGACTGTTGGTTTCTTACCTCTGAGGCACATGTAGCCTAACTTCAAAGGAAACGTCAATGCTGTTAAGCCTTGGCTGGGCTCGGGGTTGAGAACCAGAGAGGTGTGGGTAAGATAGGTTTTGACCAGTTTGAGCCCAGGCTCTGATGCACCACCACGTGTGGTTCTGCACCTCTGCATCCCATCATAGAGATTGATAGTTGGGAGCAGGTTGGTTGGTTTCACAAATTGTACACACGACATATAGAATGGGAGAATAGAATGCAACTGTATGCACAAGTTTCAGTAGCACTGTTGTAGATCACACATCAGGATGTTGGAATATCAAATCCTGGCTTCAAGCTGCAGTGCTGGCAGGACTGCTCTTGCTCTTTTTCCATGGGATGAGAAGAAGAAAAAGGATGACAGCTTTAGGGTCCATTTGGCCTCTTAAATTGCCAGAGATAAACTAGGAAATTAAAGATATTAAGAATAAGATGGATTATATGACCGTGCCCCTGCCAAACAACCATCATAAATATGCACTCAGCATGATATCCTCAGTGTGCCCTCATTATCTGATTATCACCTGTCATGTGTAGCAACAGTGCAGGCAGTTATGTTCTGCAGAAACATCTGAGCTCACTGTTCTTGAGGAATTTCAGTGCTGATGGTCTTCCATGCCACTTTGCCCACCTATCCAGTATTTTATCCCACTGTTAACATTTGTTTCTACTTCTTCTTTTTATTTTTCTTCTTTATTCTTCTTCCTCTTTTTCTTCTTCTTCTGCATTTACTTTTTAGAGAGCGGTTGGCACTTTGTGTTATAGTTAACATCTAGGCTGCAATCTCTGCACCTTTTAGCTCAGTAATCTAATCTCAGCTAATTCCTAATTAGTCGCCTTTTATGACCAATGGATCTATTCCCACCCCACCATGGGGTCTCAAGCCCCACACTGGGTATCTTTGTCACTAGTACCCTCAATCTTTCTGGCTGTCACAGTCTTTTCTAAAAACTCTTATGTCATAAAGTAATCAAACATTGAGGATTGTCAAATGTCAGTGAACTGGCCTCTTGCCATGTTTGAATATTGGTGTTCTTAGCTGTCCATGTCATTCTTAGCATTCTAAAAAAAAAAAAACACATCTCTTGTGGCTTCCAGTGTCATTTTATTGTGATTGTCCAAGATTCACATGCACATGGAAGTATAAGAAGCAGTTTATGATGTTTCTGTAGCTCCTGATTGCCTTTTTCTGATTCCCATGGACAGGAATAAGTTTTACTTTTTATTCTTCTTCTACATTTGCTGTGAAAAAGGCAGCTTACTTGTTTTATTGTGGTTTACAACTAGGCTGTGAAATCCTTTTTGCCCAGCAGATGCTTAATTAGTCACCTTTTACGAGGGGACGGTGGGTCTGTTATCTTTTCCTTTCTTGCTTTTCACTGGAGAGAAGTATAAGTGACATGTGTGTATGCTTGCTTTACTCTGCTTATTGTAGTACTTATATGAAAGTCTACAGAGTATCTCAGTCTCAGTATTGTAGTACTTATATGAAAGTCTACAGAGTATCTATCTCAGTATTGTAGTACTTATATGAAAGTCTACAGAGTATCTCAGTCTCAGTATTGTAGTACTTAAATGAAAGTCTACAGAGTATCTCAGTCTCAGTATTGTAGTACTTATATGAAAGTCTACAGAGTATCTATCTCAGTATTGTAGTACTTATATGAAAGTCTCCAGAGTATCTCAGTCTCAGTATTGTAGTACTTATATGAAAGTCTACAGAGTATCTATCTCAGTATTGTAGTACTTATATGAAAGTCTACAGAGTATCTCAGTCTCAGTATTGTAGTACTTAAATGAAAGTCTACAGAGTATCTCAGTCTCAGTATTGTAGTACTTATATGAAAGTCTACAGAGTATCTCAGTACCAGTATTGTAGATGATAAAATGTTATTTATTTAAACAGATAGCTCAAATAATGCCAGTCGGATCTTCAGTACAAGCGCTGCAGGGGCAGATAATCCAGCAAGCAGGGGGAGGAACCTTTCTCATTCAGAGCGGGACAGTAGACAGTGATTGTGCCCCCTTGACTCACACTACCAGAGCTTCGCCTATAACTGTAAGTGTGGCTTTTCCATGGCTAGAACAGACTTGTGGGGTGTTTGTAATCAGTTTATGTGTACTGTGAGATCATAAATGTTTGTGTTGTGGGGCTGTCACATGACACATTTAGTTTTGTAGTACCATTTCAGGTTCTGTTACTAGTAGAATTGTTTTCTTTTGGGAGGAAACATTTGATTATTATTACATTTTAGGAAATTCATATTTGGTTTGTGTATTCCAGAGAACAATTTTTATTAATTGAGTATGTAAATGAGGAAACTGATGGGTTGAATCTGTGGTGTACTGCTTTCTTCTGTTTTGTTCCCTCTACGTGGATCCAGTTTTGTTTTTATTGTGGACAGTGTTTGTATTCTTCTTTTCATAACATACATGGACGCCATATGTAGCGAAACAGACTTTAATCAGGAAGAAGATATAACAGAATTACTTTTCGCCGACGACCAGGTACTCATAGCAGAAAATATGGAATGCCTACAGAACCACCTAAATCAAATTAGTAACAAAGGGGAGGAATATAATATGAAAATAAACACTACGAAGACAGAGACAATGATGATAGGAAGACATAAAGACAATTTAGAAATTAAATTAAAAAACAACACCCTGAGACAAACAGAGGAATTTAAGTATTTGGGAGCAATTTTTACTTCAGACGGAAAACTGGACAGAGAAATTAGCTCCAGATGTGCCAAAGCTAATCAAGTAATGGGCCAACTATCTCCCCTGTTGACACACAAGCAGATACCTCAGAGTACTAAAGTGAATCTTATCAGAACTATTTTTTGGCCAATACTATGCTATCAGTGCCAAACGTGGACACTTACATCCTCCAATGAACGTAAAATTGTGACAACAGAGATGAAATGCCTTAGAAGAGCTGCAGGAGTTTCAAGGAAAGACAGAATACAAAATCATGAAATCAGACGAATGCTAGGAATAAAGCCGTCTTACAGGTCATCAAAGAACAACAAATGAAATGGTTTGGACACCTAACAAGAATGCCCTGGTACTATCTGCCACAGCGAGCCACACTAAAACGTTACAACGGGTATAAAGCGAGTGGAAGACCTCGGAAAAGATGGAGTGATGGCATTAAGAACAGCCTTACAGAAATGAACATCAGTCTTAATAGTGCTCTTGACAGAGCTCATCAACGAACATTACATCTCCCCCCGACACTTCGATGAGGTACAAGGTGGAAGAGAAGAAGATGAAGAAGAAGAAGAAGAAGTGTTTGTATTGTTCTCCTTTGTAGCTGTGATGGGTTAGTGAACCTGCTGAGGTCTGACTCTCGTCTGATGCATGTATTCAGATGTAATTTTCATCTGGGCATGCTTCTGAGAAGTGAAACTGGAGTCGTGTGTTTGAGACTCTGTCGGGAGCATGTCTTGGATGTTGGGCCCAGGATATGCTGGTGTGTGGGGTCATGAGCAGGCAGACACATTGACTGCTGCTGCTCTAGGTGGTGGTAAGCTCATTATATGATAAGGCAGACAGGGTGACAGTTCTCTAGGGTCAAATGAACAGTGCTCTAGAACAGACAAGGCATCCACATAGCCGCAGAACTGATTCAGTAGGGCGTGTGCAGCGTCTGGACAACATTCAGCGCCATCATTGCCCTGTCTTCTGGACGTAGAAAGTCAATTATGGCTCAATTGGTAGAGAACGAGCATATTACAGAGAACTGAGCATCCGATGAGCATTTCAGTACTAGACCACCCACATGACTGTCAAATGCAGGGGAAAACCACCACGTTAACTTGCAAAGAATAAGTTTGAGAGTGAGTTACAAAACTTCAATGTGGAAGGGACATGTTGAAACACTTGGCACTTGTCTTCACAGCACTCTGATAGATCAGCGTTCTAGATAGGTTACCACATAGATAGATTTTGCTGTTATGAACCTACTACATATCGAATTCCTCACAACCTTGACTGTCTTCCAGAGCAGGACATATAGGTAGAATACCACATTCCTTGTGTGGGTTCTGGGGCCCCATTATGGGAAAGGGGGGGGGGGAGAATAGACCCACTGCATCTTCTACAACAAGCATGTCACAGGAGTCAACTAAGGAAGGCTTCCCCACCAAGTCAGCGTGCATCTGCCTGAGAACAAGGAACCAACAGTCTGCATACAAATAAGCCAGATCTGTAAAACAGATATGCATACAAAACTGAAGTTGTGGAACAAGCCTGAAGTCCAAAAGTGGATGGAGGACCAGAACTTTCTGCTGGAATTTACAGCCGGTGAACGCTTTGAAGAAGAAGAAGAATACGACATATACATTTTACTGTTACGAATAAACCACATACCCAGAATCCTCACACATAGCTGTTATTATTCCCAGTTTTCGGTTTTTTCTTTCTCAAAGAACCATACACCTTTGGCTGAGCTGAGCAATTTGCATTCAAAAGAGGTAAGGCCCCCATCCCACGCAGCGAAATGTTGTTGGTGAGGACGCTTGATCTGTCCCCTCCAGCACATGTTTCATGTCCTGTTGGTTTTTCTTTCCTTTGTTGTTATTGAGTATTTATTGCTATAACGTTGTGCTTGATGGAGGGAATCCTTGCTGTCTTTTTTAATCACAAATGTTCAGTAATCTGTCACAAGTGGCTGTGTAGCTTGGCGGTTAGTGAAATGCTTTCACAATGTTGTCCTCTTCATGTACCAGGGTTCCATTCTGAAGGTGGGTGGTTTAGAATGAGGCCATTCTTGTGGATGTCAGACAGTGGTACAAGAGTCACACCGTGGAAGCCACTGGGCCTTGCCCATAATGTTCCCAAAGTTGGTGGGGGATATATTGCAGCCAGTTTCATTGTGGGGAGGCCACAGTTTTTGCCTTAATCAGCCAGTCAACCAGAATCTTATTAAATTGGCCACTGCCATAGGGTAATAAAGAGCTAGATAGTTAGATCTTCACGTATATACTGTGTCACAACATAATGAGCTCTGAGTCATACAGTTCCTTACCTCTTAGCTTTCCTGAAAACGAATCTATTACCATTCATCAGATTGGATTGGCCCCACTGAACATTTAATAAATAATAAAACAAAAAGCAGTTTGCCACTACTAAGAATTAAACGGGGGACCATTTTCTGGATAAATCAGTGCACTAACAACGGTATCACCGAGGGATGGTGATTGCCTGGATCTATGAATTCTCTAGCTGATCTGGGTCTGGTTTACTCTCGTAGAACAATGAATGAAATCAAGAACAAGGGTGATGAGCAGGTTCAGCTTCTGAAGAGCACAGTCACAGGTCATGGAGTGGACACTGGCATTAGAATACATTGACCACTCCATGCCTTGTTGTTAACATTGACCATTGCATGTCTTGTTGTTGTGTTCTTGTTGAACTCAGTCTCTCCCATTTCTGGTTTTGTTAATTTCTTCATTGCATTCACTAGTTTCATTGGATTAATCTATTTTGTATTGTTGTTGTTACATTTGAAATATTTCTTTATAATACAGATGTAAGGTTGTTGTGAAGTGCTATACTGATGATTATATTTAGATTTAGGTAATTTAAGCGTTGGTGATATGTGTGGGTAAGGGGGGGGGGCGGAGGGGGTTGCGGCAGAAGGGAACCTGTAAATTGATTGTTCACTTAGAAAAGTGTGCTGCTACATCAGATCAGTGTAGGTCTTACATGAAGATGTAGCACATCGTAATACTATTTCAGAATCTGGTGCACAGTTAGCATCTTTTTTTTCCCTCCTAGTGTTCATTCCAGGGCCCTTTGTATGTGTTTGGGGGAGGGGGGGGGGGGGGAGAGACTCACTACCTCCCTAGCAAGCATGTCATAAGAGTCAACTAATTAGGAGTTTCCTTTGAAGTCAGAATGTATTTGGCTAAGAGGCAAGGAACCAGCAGTCTGGCTACAAATAAGCCACATCTGTAAAATAGATGTTCATGCAAAACTCAAGTTCTGGAACAGTGCTTAAGTACCAGCAGTGGAACAACCAGGACTTTCCGCCCAAGTTTGCAGTCGATAAACCTGAGGAGAAGAAGCATCTGTTCAGAAACTGTATCTCCTGTATGGAAACTGAGCTGTTTTCATGAGAATTGGACAAACATGTTGGTTTCTTTGTTATCTCTTGTGCTGACATAAACACTGGCCATATTGTCTTGCTTGTTGTTTGCTGGTTGGTGTTCCTCCCTTGCAGATCCTCATGGGAAGGTGTGGTGGACCTGTAGGAAGGGATAGGGGCATCTTGATATTGGTTGATATTCCCACAGCGGTCAAGGAAATGTGTGACTTGTTGTGTAATCTTGTGTCTCCTTGCTTTGTTCGATGTTCGTAATATTTCTTCAGTGTTGTATGTTTCAGCATGAAAATGTCTTTCAGTGTGTACTATCTGTGCTTTTGTTTCATAAGTAGAAAGAACTCCTTGGATGAGCAAAACATATGTTTCTACAGTGATCTTAATTAACTAGCAGTCAGCTTTATGGTTGAGGCCCTAACAGTTGCTCATACTGGTTGCTACACTGTATTAATGTCTCTAATACTTCATGAAAATATCATATGTTTGAAAAGGGGGGGGGGGGGGGATTTAGGCAGAATATATAGTGAGCTGCAAAGATTGTGAAAGATAGACTGGTTTGGGCTCCACGTCTGGGTTTTGGGGCCCAATTTTGGGGGAACAGAGGAATGAATCATCATCATCAAGTGCCTTGCTGACTTGTGCTGTTCCCATAACCCCTCAAACAAGCATGTCGTAAGAGTGATTAATTAGTGGTGTTTCCTTTGAAGTCGGGGTGCATCTACATGAGAGGTAAGGAACTAACAATCTGCTCCAAATCTGAGGCATATCTGTCAAACTGATGTGCCTGAAGCCCATGTTCTGGATCAAAACCAAAGTCCAGAAGTGGATAAACAACCAGAATGTTTTGCTAGAGGTTACAGCCAGTGAATGCTAAGAAGAAGAGGGGCTTGAGGTTACAGCCAGTGAATGCTAAGAAGAAGAGGGGCTTGAGGTTACAGCCAGTGAATGCTAAGAAGAAGAGGGGCTTGAGGTTACAGCCAGTGAATGCTAAGAAGAAGAGGGGCTAGAGGTTACAGCCAGTGAATGCTAAGAAGAAGAGGGGCTAGAGGTTACAGCCACTGAATGCTAAGAAGAAGAGGGGCTAGAGGTTACAGCCAGTGAATGCTAAGAAGAAGAGGGGCTAGAGGTTACAGCCAGTGAATGCTAAGAAGAAGAGGGGCTTGAGGTTACAGCCAGTGAATGCTAAGAAGAAGAGGGGCTTGAGGTTACAGCCAGTGAATGCTAAGAAGAAGAGGGGCTAGAGGTTACAGCCAGTGAATGCTAAGAAGAAGAGGGGCTAGAGGTTACAGCCAGTGAATGCTAAGAAGAAGAGGGGCTTGAGGTTACAGCCAGTGAATGCTAAGAAGAAGAGGGGCTAGAGGTTACAGCCAGTGAATGCTAAGAAGAAGAGGGGCTTGAGGTTACAGCCAGTGAATGCTAAGAAGAAGAGGGGCTTGAGGTTACAGCCAGTGAATGCTAAGAAGAAGAGGGGCTAGAGGTTACAGCCAGTGAATGCTAAGAAGAAGAGGGGCTTGAGGTTGGCTGAGCTTCTGTGGTCCAGTTTGGGATAAAAAGATGGAGAAAGAAGAAACATGAGACTTTTGCTGATCTTCATTAACTTGTACGGCTTTGCTGTCTGTGAGTTGAGTAATGAACATTTGCTTTGCTTCCACCTTTGTTGCTCATTGTTTTATGTTGTCACCAACCAAACCATATTTAATATTAACCATTACATTACTGGCAGTTGGTGTGATGGAGAAAAAACATAAATTTTAGTAGAAAGTTATTTGACCTATATAAAATGAAGTTGCTGATGCTATCAAACATAAGAAGAAGGGGGAAATGGCTGGACCTGATAAAACTATGGTAGAGGAATTAGAAGTACTTGGAGAATTTGGAGTAGAAATATTAACTAAACTGATGAATGATATTTTCAACACTAGAGAAATATCTGAGGATATAGTAAAAACAGTATTTATCACCTTACCCATGAGGCAATTTAGTATGATGATAAAGATTATAGATAAATGTTGGAAAAGTTCTTTGTTTGCTTGTGAGTGCATGTTCTGTTTAAACATGTCCTTTGTCTTGGCATGCTTGCCTGTGATTTGTCTGCCAGGTTAGGGGCATAAATGCAGGCATCTGAACTATTGTTGGTGACAAATCTTCAGTACTAGTTGAATATAAATGATCACTTCTGTATGTGTCTCCCACATGGTACAATCTTACATATAGGGGATGTTTCCCTTGAGAGTTCCGGAGCTCATTTGGAAAGGGGGGGGGGGGGGGGGGCAGACCCTTCCATCCCCCAACAGGCATATCATAAAAGGTAACTCATTAGGGGTTTACAGATACTCTATGTGTTGGGCTGAAAAGGCCAGATATCACATCCTGGCTGTAAGCCACAACCCAGCAACTGCCCTTTTACAGGTGAATGCAGAAGAAATATGTCATGTTCCTGTTCAATTGGATTATTGATGAATCATCATCGTCAAGTGCCTTGCTGACTGGCACTGTTGTGCACCTCTTGCTGTCTCCCTTTGTGTGTGGCAGCTTGTGTTCAAACATCTTTCCATACCAGGACAACAAGTTTTCAAGAATCTTCTCACGTGGTTTTCCTCTATCTCACTTCCCATAAATCTTTGCAGCTGTCACATGTTCCAGTTGATACCTTATTGTAAGGTCCAAATGTGATGACTGTATATAGCTTAATCTACTGTTTCCCCTCTTAGAAGGTTGGTTGACACATTGTGGTTTACAGCTAGGCTATGTGTCTGTGCTTTCAACCCAACGTATCCAGTTTCAGCAATCCCTTATTTATTTGCCCTTGTAAACATTTTTAGTTAGAGGATCACTGCATCTACCACATACCCCCTCCCCCTCAACCCGTCAAATAGGGGCCAGATATGAACACATGTGGATATATGGCCTAATAAAACAGATACAGGTATTAAGATTTGAATTGTGGGTATTGGGTATCTTGTGGGAAATATGTTCTCTGGCTCAGGGGTTAGTGGATGTGGTTAACAATTTCATGCTGCTCCAGTACCAGGGTTCCATTTCCCCAATGGACAGTTTATATTAAAAAAAAAAAAAAACTATCACATTTTTTTTTGTTTACAAGAGTTGAAGAGGAAGAGATTAGGGCGTCACAATATGATTAATTGACTAAAGACATCACTAAGTACATTGTGACCGCCCATCATTATAGAGATGGCACAGGATCAGTAATAATGGTTCAGTTAACCATCAAGAATGTTGCTAAATGACAGTGTCTGGTCTCACACAGAAGGAAAGCCCAGGACTTCAGCTGAAATATACACATATACAGTCAAACTGGCTGGGATCTGACACTTCATTGCTGCACCTATGTCTGCGACAGTGAACAGAAACCAAAAATGAATGTATACAAGTTTCAGTTGTGGTGTAATCCACACATGACGAGAACCAGCTAGAATGAAAATTTCTTCTTCTTCTTCCTCTAAGTGTTCACCAGCCAGCCATAAACTCCAGTGGAAAGCTCTGTGTTGGACTTGAGTTTTGTTCTGGAACTTGAATTTTGTGTGCATATTCGTTTTACAGACCTGGCTTATTTAAGCAGACTGTTGGTTCCTTACCTTTCAGGCAGACTTTGAAGGAAACACGCCTAATTAGTGACTTTTATGACATCCTTGTTCAAGCCCCGCAATGGGGTTCCAGACCCCCACAGGGAGGATAGAAAATTTGACAAGTGGACAAGTTTTGGAAAATAAAGATTTGATCTTCTCGTTGGTGAAACCACAGCTTTATGGGGTGGGGTGACTATTGCTTTCTACTTTACTGTCATCCTGCGGATATACCATCTCACTAGCTGTTATAAAACTGTCTCTTTTAGGGCACTGTAGGACTGCGGGTCGGGGACCTGAGGATGTAAGGTCATGTGGCTAATGTAGGGTCTATGGATTATGCTGGTTAGGACCCCCTTTCCCTCCCCCCTAGAAAAAAAATTGTTCACCTTACGAAGAATTCAAACCTGATGAAATTACGCTTGACAGACCATGGATACAACATGTTCATTGTAGCCCTAATGAAGTGTTGTGTTTGTGATGTCTGCAGGTTCAGTGGCTCATCGACAACTACGAGACGGCTGAGGGTGTTAGTCTACCACGGAGCACACTCTATTACCATTACTTGCGGCACTGCCAGGAACAAGGACTTGACCCCATGAACCCAGCTTCATTTGGCAAGTTGATACGATCAGTGTTTCTAGGCTTGCGCACCCGGCGTCTCGGCACAAGGTGAGAATGTGTGCACTGTTTGAGAACATTTTTTTTTCAAAATACAGAGGCACTTGATGCTTTGTATCCCAGAAACTTCCACAGCACGTGCCCAAGAGAACAGTAACTTTAGTGCAAAACTCATCTGTTATTGCGTTGCATGTTTATTTCTAGCCAGAGTTAGTCAAGTCAGAAACAGACTAGTTAGTCAAGTCAGAAACAGACTAGTTAGTCAAGTCAGAAACAGACTAGTTAGTCACGATTAGCTTAGCTGAAACAGACTATACCCAAAACTCCACTAATGCCTAGAGCTCTTGAGGGCTGTAGTGATGACACAGGTAACTCCAAGTACTACTACTGTGTTGTCCTCTTGTTACTGTTTGATGATGTCCCCAGGGGTAACTCCAAGTACCACTACTGTGTTGTCCTCTTGTTACTGTTTGATGTTGTCCCCAGGGGTAAATCCAAGTACCACTACTATGTTGTCCTCTTGCAACTGTTTGATGATGTCCCCAGGGGTAAATCCAAGTACCACTACTATGTTGTCCTCTTGTAACTGTTTGCTGATGACCCCAGGGGTAAATCCAAGTACCACTACTACGTTGTCCTCTTGTAACTGTTTGATGTTGTCCCCAGGGGTAACTCCAAGTACCACTACTATGTTGTCCTCTTGCAACTGTTTGATGGTGTCCCCAGGGGTAAATCCAAGTACCACTACTATGTTGTTCTCTTGTAACTGTTTGCTGATGTCCCCAGGGGTAACTCCAAGTACCACTACTATGGTATCAGAATCAGAGCCAACTCCTCGTTGAACCAGTTCACAGATGACCAGACCATGGCACTCCGACAGCAGCCAATGTACACCAGCAAGAAGTGAGTATCTCTCTGTTGCTGTGACATTTCTTTAATATAAATTTTTATGCTTATCCTGCAGCTAGTCCAGTCCTTCTCCGAGTGACTTCCGGACCCCTCTGGTCAAACAAGAATAGACCCACTGCTTCCTCAACAGTCATATCGTTAGAATTGGCTAACTGGGGCTTCCTTCGAAGTCAGAGTACATCTGCCTGAGAGGCCAGGAACCACAGAGTACATCTGCCTGAGAGGCCAGGAACCACAGAGTACATCTGCCTGAGAGGCCAGGAACCACAGAGTACATCTGCCTGAGAGGGAAGGAACCACAGAGTACATCTGTCTGAGAGGCCAGGAACCACAGAGTACATCTGCCTGAGAGGCCAGGAACCACAGAGTACATCTGCCTGAGAGGCCAGGAACCACAGAGTACATCTGCCTGAGAGGCCAGGAACCACAGAGTACATCTGCCTGAGAGGGAAGGAACCACAGAGTACATCTGCCTGAGAGGCCAGGAACCACAGAGTGCATCTGCCTGAGGGGCCAGGAACCACAGAGTACATCTGCCTGAGAGGCCAGGAACCACAGAGTACATCTGCCTGAGAGGCCAGGAACCACAGAGTACATCTGCCTGAGAGGCCAGGAACCACAGAGTACATCTGCCTGAGAGGCCAGGAACCACAGAGTACATCTGCCTGAGAGGCCAGGAACCACAGAGTACATATGCCTGAGAGGGAAGGAACCACAGAGTACATCTGCCTGAGAGGCCAGGAACCACAGAGTACATATGCCTGAGAGGGAAGGAACCACAGAGTACATCTGTCTGAGAGGCCAGGAACCACAGAGTACATCTGCCTGAGAGGCCAGGAACCACAGAGTACATCTGCCTGAGAGGCCAGGAACCACAGAGTACATCTGCCTGAGAGGCCAGGAACCACAGAGTATATCTGCCTGAGAGGCCAGGAACCACAGAGTACATCTGCCTGAGAGGCCAGGAACCACAGAGTACATCTGCCTGAGAGGCCAGGAACCACAGTACATCTGCCTGAGAGGCCAGGAACCACAGAGTACATCTGCCTTAGAGGCCAGGAACCACAGAGCACATCTGCCTGAGAGGCCTGGAACCAGCAATCTGCTTACAGATAAGTCAGTTCTCTGAAACAGAGGTGCAGTATTTTTAACAACATGGATGCAGTGAATGCACAATTGTCTGCTGCCAAAGCGCCTGCAACTGACTTTGAACCTGATGTTTTGGAATTATAAAACTACATTCACAAGCCCCAGACGCTGATGGTACACTGTATAGTGTGCTATAACATGTGAATGACATTTGTCAGTGACAGCTCTGTCGCAGTTTTATCATGTCAATACATTGCCGGTGGATGCGCTCACAGAAGAGCAGTCCCAGAAAGCCTGAAGAAAAGAGCAGGACCTGTGAAAAAACCTGGCAACATTTGTCTCACTGTTGTGTCCCCTCAGGTGACAGTTTCTGAACCAGGCTTCAGAGCTTTTATACACATGTGTTCCCGATTTATTGCAGTGGCAGAAGAATGAGATGCTATTGCTTTTATTTCTTGTTCAGCTTGCCATCTTTCCTTTTGCCCTGCTGTGTCCCATGGTATATGTGTGTTTGTGTGTGTGTATATATATACATATTATTTTTTTAAAAATCTCCTTGATGTCTAAATGTGGTATTTAAATATTTTCTAGATAACACTGTCAACACAATATTTGTATCATTCCTTAATGTCTATCTGGATATAGTATTTTTACGTGCCTCATTGTGGGGAAAACAAGAATAGACCCACTTCCTTCCCAACAAATATGTTGTAGGAGTCAACGAATTGTTATCCTTAAGAGTTGGAGTAAATCTGCTTGAGAGTCAAGAAACCAAGAATCTGCATACAAATAAGCCAGATCTGTGAAACTGATGTGAACACAAGTCAGGTTCTGGAACACGACTGAAATCCAGTGGTGGACGAACAACCAGAACTTTCCACCGAAGTTTTCAGCTGGTGAACACGAAGAAGAAGATATATCTCCTTGATCTCACTGTAGATACAGTTTGTATATCTTTCTTTGGTTCTCTGGATGCATTTACATCTTTTCTGATGTTGGTACAGCATTTACATCTCTCTTTCTTGTCACTTTAGGTACAATATTTATATCTTTCCTTGATGTTTGTAGATACAGTATGAATAGTATTCCCTATTCTTTGATGTCACTTTAGGTACAATATTTATTTCTTTCCTTGATGTTTTTAGATACAGTATGAATAGTATTCCCTATTCTTTGATGTCACTGTAGGTACAATATTTATATCTTTCCTTGATGTTTGTAGATACAGTATGAATAGTATTCCCTATTCTTTGTTGTCACTTTAGGTACAATATTTATATCTTTCCTTGATGTTTGTAGATACAGTATGAATAGTTTTCCCTATTCTTGATGTCACTTTAGGTACAATATTTATTTTTTTTTTCTTGATGTTTGTAGATACAGTATAAATAGTATTCCCTATTCTTTGATGTCACTTTAGGTACAATATTTATATCTTTCTTGATGTTTGTAGATACAGTATGAATAGTATTCCCTATTCTTTGATGTCACTTTAGGTACAATATTTGGCTTTACTGGCAAATTTGGCCGGTAAGCTGGACTGCTTCGGCCGGCTTAGCGGGGCTTAGTGGGAGTTATGTCCCTTCGCGTCCCTTGGCCAAACTCAAAACAAGTCGCGGAAAAAGTCACGAATCAAATGACATACTTACCTATCATCATCCGGGTGCGTGTAGGGTTGCGTCTAGGGTTACCTATCATCATACGGTTGCACGTAGGGCTGCGTAGGGTGTCTATCATCATCATACGGTTGCGTGTAGGGATGCGTAGGGTGTCTATCATCATCATCATACGGTTGCGTGTAGGGTTTGGGTTAGCGGTAGGGTTAGGGGTAGGGTTAGGGGTAGGGTTAGGGTTATATGATGTGAAAATATTCACGTAGGAGGTGGAAATACTGGCCAACAATCTGATGCTTGTGGGAGTGGCGCCACTGGAAGTGTGCCAAATATGACGGCAATAGCGCGCGGCGGCTGGTGCCTCAATCGGTGGTGGCGAATTGTCCGTGTCAGTAGCATCCACCATCCGTTGACTGTTTGCGCGTGCATGCGACTGTGCGCGATTGTAGGGAACTACGGCGTCACAATTGTCACATGTAACGCTAACCCTAAACCCTAAACCTAAACCCTAACCCTAACCCCTAAATGCTAACCCTAACCCCTAACCTACCCCTCATCTATCTTACGCAAACAACCAACCCTACACGCAATAAGCAGCCCTACATGCAACCGTAGGACGATGATAGACACCCTACGCAACCCTGCACGCACCCGGATGATGATAGGTAAGTATGCCGTTTGATTCGTGGGCTTTTTTTCCGCGACTTGTTTTGAGTTGTTTTGAGTTTGGCCAAGGGACATAACTCCCACTAAGCCCCGCTAAGCCGGCCGAAGCAGTCCAGCTTACCGGCCAAATTTGCCAGTAGAGCCCAATAATTATATCTTTCCTTGATGTTTGTAGATACAGTATGAATAGTATTCCCTATTCTTTGATGTCACTGTAGGTACAATATTTATATCTTTCCTTGATGTTTGTAGATACAGTATGAATAGTATTCCCTATTCTTTGATGTCACTTTAGGTACAATATTTATTTCTTTCCTTGATGTTTTTAGATACAGTATGAATAGTATTCCCTATTCTTTGATGTCACTGTAGGTACAATATTTATATCTTTCCTTGATGTTTGTAGATACAGTATGAATAGTATTCCCTATTCTTTGTTGTCACTTTAGGTACAATATTTATATCTTTCCTTGATGTTTGTAGATACAGTATGAATAGTTTTCCCTATTCTTTGATGTCACTTTAGGTACAATATTTATTTTTTTCTTGATGTTTGTAGATACAGTATAAATAGTATTCCCTATTCTTTGATGTCACTTTAGGTACAATATTTATATCTTTCTTGATGTTTGTAGATACAGTATGAATAGTATTCCCTATTCTTTGATGTCACTTTAGGTACAATATTTGGCTTTACTGGCAAATTTGGCCGGTAAGCTGGACTGCTTCGGCCGGCTTAGCGGGGCTTAGTGGGAGTTATGTCCCTCCGCGTCCCTTGGCCAAACTCAAAACAAGTCGCGGAAAAAGTCACGAATCAAATGACATACTTACCTATCATCATCCGGGTGCGTGTAGGGTTGCGTCTAGGGTTACCTATCATCATACGGTTGCACGTAGGGCTGCGTAGGGTGTCTATCATCATCATACGGTTGCGTGTAGGGATGCGTAGGGTGTCTATCATCATCATCATACGGTTGCGTGTAGGGTTTGGGTTAGCGGTAGGGTTAGGGGTGTGGGTTAGGGTTATATGATGTGAAAATATTCACGTAGGAGGTGGAAATACTGGCCAACAATCTGATGCTTGTGGGAGTGGCGCCACTGGAAGTGTGCCAAATATGACGGCAATAGCGCGCGGCGGCTGGTGCCTCAATCGGTGGTGGCGAATTGTCCGTGTCAGTAGCATCAACCATCCATCCGTTGACTGTTTGCACGTGCATGCGACTGTGCGCGATTGTAGGGAACTACGGCGTCACAATTGTCACATGTAACGCTAACCCTAAACCCTAAACCCTAACCCTAACCCCTAAATGCTAACCCTAACCCCTAACCTACCCCTCATCTATCTTACGCAAACAACCAACCCTACACGCAATAAGCAGCCCTACATGCAACCGTAGGACGATGATAGACACCCTACGCAACCCTGCACGCACCCGGATGATGATAGGTAAGTATGCCGTTTGATTCGTGGCTTTTTCCGCGACTTGTTTTGAGTTGTTTTGAGTTTGGCCAAGGGACATAACTCCCACTAAGCCCCGCTAAGCCGGCCGAAGCAGTCCAGCTTACCGGCCAAATTTGCCAGTAGAGCCCAATAATTATATCTTTCCTTGATGTTTGTAGATACAGTATGAATAGTATTCCCTATTCTTTGATGTCACTGTAGGTACAATATTTATATCTTTCCTTGATGTTTGTAGATACAGTATGAATAGTATTCCCTATTCTTTGATGTCACTTTAGGTACAATATTTATATCTTTCCTTGATGTTTGTAGATACAGTATGAATAGTATTCCCTATTCTTTGATGTCACTGTAGGTACAATATTTATATCTTTCCTTGATGTTTGTAGATACAGTATGAATAGTATTCCCTATTCTTTGATGTCACTGTAGGTACAATATTTATATCTTTCCTTGATGTTTGTAGATACAGTATGAATAGTATTCCCTATTCTTTGATGTCACTGTAGGTACAATATTTATATCAATTTTGTATTACTCCTTGATCAATCTAGATCAGGTGAAGCAGGGACGGTGCAGGCCAAGAAACAAAGACAAGCTAAAAAGGGCAGAAAGACAAAACATAAGATAGCCACCATCTCCTGTCCACACTGCCCAAGAAGTCCTGGCTCAAGATTGGCCTTCTCAGTCATCAAACGCACATGATTTTTGACCTGGCTGGATCCAGAGTGGCTTTCATCTCTGCCGATGAATGTTGCATTCCTTGTTGTTACTTTTCATTAGAATTTTAAATCACTGATTTCCTGCCTCTGTGTCCTTTTTTTGATGATGTCACAAACAAAAACAGTGTCTGAGAACATGTTGGTGCTGCGTAGGGTGTCTACACGTGCTCATTTTTGTACACACTGTTGGTTTTTGTTGTGAAAAGATTTAGTGAAATAAGCCAGTTGATGTGAATCTAAAGCGTTTGGAGAGAAGTCTAAGAATAATTTCTTTGATCAGGCATAGTCGTCATCATTATGTGGACTGACCTTTGCAGAGTGTCAGCCAAATCTTTACCTGCTAGAAAGTCCCCTAAACCCTTGGCCAGTTCCTCTGATTATGCACTTTCATGTCCCAAGACCTCTGTGCCAACAATCGGTGTTGAATTGTCCGTGCCTCTTAGCATCCACTATCCTTTACTTTTTTGCGCTAAGCATGCGACTGTGGGCGATTTTAGGGAATTTGACCGGCGTCACAATTGTCACATGTAACGCTAACCCTAAACCCTAAACCTAAACCCTAACCCTAACCCCTAAACGCTAACCCTAACCCCTAACCTACCCCTCATCTATCTTACGCAAACAACCAACCCTACACGCAATAAGCAGCCCTACATGCAACCGTAGGACGATGATAGACACCCTACGCAACCCTGCACGCACCCGGATGATGATAGGTAAGTATGCCGTTTGATTCGTTGCTTTTTCCGCGACTTGTTTTGAGTTTGGCCAAGGGACATAACTCCCACTAAGCCCCGCTAAGCCGGCCGAAGCAGTCCAGCTTACCGGCCAAATTTGCCAGTAGAGCCCAATAATTATATCTTTCCTTGATGTTTGTAGATACAGTATGAATAGTATTCCTTATTCTTTGATGTCACTGTAGGTACAATATTTATATCAATTTTGTATGACTCCTTGATCAATCTAGATCAGGCGAAGCAGGGACGGTGCAGGCCAAGAAACAAAGACAAGCTAAAAAGGGCAGAAAGACAAAACATAAGATAGCCACCATCTCCTGTCCACACTGCCCAAGAAGATTCCTGGCTCAGATTGGCCTTCTCAGTCATCTACGCAGTCATGATTTTTGACCTGGCTGGATCCAGAGTGGCTTTCATCTCTGCCGATGGATGTACAGCCCCACGCACACATTCCTTGTTGTTACTTTTGAATTAGAATTTTAAATCACTGATTTCCTGCCTCTGTGTCCTTTTTTTGATGATGTCACAAACAAAACAGTGTCTGAGAACATGTTGGTGCTGCATTGTTTCTCTACACGTGCTGTTTTTGTACACACTCTTGTTTTTGTTGTGAAAAGATTCTAGTGAAATAAGCCAGTTGATGTGAATCTAAAGCGTATTGGAGAGAAGTCTAAGAATAATTTCTTTGATCAGACAGCATAGCCGTCATCATTATGTGAACTGACCTTTGCAGAGTGTCAGCTCAATCTTTACCTGCTAGAAAGTCCCTAAACCCTTTGCCAGTTCCTCTGATTGATGCACTTGCATGTCCAAGACCTCTGTGCCAACCATCTTGTTGATTGTGGCCTGCCTCTTCTTCATGGAGCTATACTTTACATTTTGTTTCTAAGCATTGTACGAGGGATGGTTTGATCCTTATTTGACCGGCGGCAAACTTGACTTATCCACATCTCTGCTACGTGTTGTATGAGGCTGGATCAACTTGTCCGTGTCTTGGCACCTTTTGAATACGGCTGGGTTGATCCAAGAGCTGCTGTTGCTGCGGATGTGACCTGTTTGTTTATGCACAAATACATGAAGTATAATTGGGTTACTTTGTGTGTTTACAGACTAGCCAGCCATAAGCAAGAAGGAGCAGAGGATGATACCGGACAGTCGGTGGCTCAAACAGGCCAGCCTGAATCAGCACACTCCCAGCAGCAGCAGCAACACAGTCATTTCCTGGGAGATGTCTCCCATGCTCTTCCTTCCTTCGGCAGTATCAACATGAGGTCCTTCCCCTTGCCAGAAGGGTTTGGAGTGGATGACATCAGCACATTTGAGAAAATTTACAGGGAGCATGCAGAGGTGCCTGATTATTGTACCTTTGTTTTTTTGTGCTTTGTTTTGTTCTTCCTTCACCTCGGCAGTCAACTGGAATAACTTATGCACAAACAAGTCTGCACACTACAATTGACTGAGACACGGGTTAACCTTCAGCTCGGCAGTCAACTGGAATAACTTATGCACAAACAAGTCTGCACACTACAACTGACTGAGACACGGGTTAACCTTCACCTCGGCAATCGACTGGAATAACTTATGCACAAACAAGTCTGCACACTACAACTGACTGAGACACGGGTTAACCTTCAGCTCAGTGGCTAGTCACGCTTGGGTCTTGCAATCCCTGTAGAGACCTCTGTTAGCTGTTTAATTTCAAGAAACCTGGATTCGAACCTGGAGCTCTCGTATGGGAGCCCAGCATTCTCAGCTCTCTGCTAGCCGCTCCTCTAATGTAGATAAACTTGCTATAAAAAATGGGAGGAGAGCGTGGACAAAAACAAAATCATACTTTGTGAGCAAGAGCCGTGGGGTGGCAGCTAGACGCTCCTGTGTGGGTCGAAAGGTTGTGGGTTCGCTTCCTGGTGGAGCTGGACTTTTTTTTTAAAAATGACCCTAACTCCCAGGTTGACTCAGCCTTGAGTGGGTACCGGGTGCAGTCCCAGGAAGTAAAGGCGGCCTGCGTGATGCTGACCACATCACCCATCTTGTGCCGATTGGTCTTTAAAAATATTGGTCTAGCGCTATACGCCCTATACGCCTACAGGTATAGAAAAGGGACCTTTTTTTTCACTTGTGAGCAAGAGAGCTGGTGAGACTTTTAGTTGGATAACAGAATCAGCCAAGCGAGGACTAACAGACTTCCTGTCTGGCAAGGACAGATTCTCTGCCCCCAGGATAGGACCCCGGCATTTCAATTAAATCTGCGCATATTTTCCATCTGTCTCTTGACTGCTGTAAAACTGTCTTAACAAGATTCCTGTGAATGTACTGGGGCCCTGTTGTCAGGAAGACAAGAATAGAATCACTGCCAGCCTAACAAGCATGTCCTAAGTGTCAACTAATTACGGGATGTCTTTTTAGTCATCAGCCCAAAAGACAAGGAACCAACAGTATGCATACAAATCAGCCAGATCTGAATGTAGGACAGATGTGCACACAACACAATGTCAACACCAGTAGATTAGAAGTCATCTTTGTACATTGGTCTCTTCATTAATTACACTCAGGTTCTGGAACAAGACTAAAGTCCAGAAGGGGACGAACAACCAGAACTTTCTGCTGGAGTTTCTATCTAACTATATCCTCTTCATGTCGTTGTTGACACATAAGGCATTCATAAGTGATCTCCATTGCTGCTGGAGTTTCTATCTAACTATATCCTCTTCATGTCGTTGTTGACACAAAAGGCATTCATAAGTGATCTCCATTGCTGCTGGAGTTTCTATCTAACTATATCCTCTTCATGTCGTTGTTGACACAAAAGGCATTCATAAGTGATCTCCATTGCTGCCGGTCTGCTGCTGGAGTTTACAGCCAGTGAAAACGAAGAAGAAAAAGAAAACTAATTCCCAATAAAATATCACTACAGCTGTCAAAATCAGCGCTGTGGTTGGATAGACTTCATCAGCACACAATGTTTAACTACACAACTACATACATTTTACAGATCTACCTTATTTTTAAGCAGATTGTTGGTTCCCCACCTCTCAGTCAAATGCACACTGGCATCGAAGGGAACACCCCTAACCAGTCAACTTTTATGAGATGCTTTTTAGGAAGACAGTGGGCCAATTTTTTTTCCTTCCTAAAACGGGCCTTGGAATCCACATGGGAGAGTAATTAAAGACAGCATAAAAAGGGAGAAAAACTGTGAAACTGACTGGCTTTGAATAGAAAGAATATATGCTTGGTTGCAAAACACACGAGCAGCAATTTGTACAGATAAAGACTAGTTCTTTTCATGTGGGTTCAAGGGCCCCATTTTGGGGAGGGAGGGGGAATTGACCCACTGCCTCCTTATCAAGCATGTCATACAAGGCCACTAATTGGGGCTGTTTCTTTTGAAGTCGGAGTGCATCTGCCCGAGAGGCATGTAACCAAAATTCTCTATATAAATAAGCCAGATCTGTCAAACGAATGTGCATGCAACACTCACCATCTGGAACAAGACCAAAGTTGAGAAGTGGACGAACAATGACAACTTTCCGCTGGAGTTTACAGCTGGAGAATGCTAAAAATAAGAAAAGAATAGTCCCGTTGCTTGTGAGAAGATGTTGGCCGGCAAGTTGAACAGAGAGGCTCAACAATCTGCAGTCAGTTTTAAACCACATAGAGATGCAACAAGCTACATTGGTCATGAAGATCTGCCCAAGTAACTTCGATCAAGAGAACAGTACGACTGCACACAAGCAAGTGAGAAACTAGGGTGGGTGGTGGAGAGGTTGTCAATCCGTCCTTGAAGTGGGCAGTTGTAGTCTGCACAGATATTCCAGTCTTGGTGAACTCGGTGCACGTAACGCAACAGGTGCTGAGCTCAGCTGGTGGGTGGTGAATCCTCATTTCTGTGGTTACTAATTTTCTTTCCTGGTTTATTGTGAGTGACCATGTCTGGCACTGGTAGCGTAGGGTGGGAGTGAATGTCCTTTGTTTGAGATGTTTCTTTGTGCTGACTGGGGTTGTGTTGTGTTATAAGAGGGGGACCAGAAATAATCTTTTTTGCAAACTTTGAGATTCTATGCTAGGCCTCTACTTGTATAGACCAGAGGCTCTCAGTTTGTGATGGGGGTCACTATCTTACCGCCCACCTTTACTTCCCTTAACATTTTCTGGTGGTATTTTCATCAGACTGAAACCTTAGGTAGGTATTGTAAAGACTACTGCTTGAAAAAGGCACTGGCACTACAGCATCCTGTTGGTGTAGTATTTAGTGATCCTTATGTTTTAGGGTTTAGTTTCTGTCAGACAGTGGTATGAGAGTTGCATCATTGAAGATTTTGGGCGCCCACAACATAAATATTCTCCAAATGTCAGTGGGAACATTGTACTCAACCTTTATTGTGAGATGGCACATGTATATACACCCACTCCCCCAAAATCACACACACACACGCACACTTTTTTGAATTGATGTAATGGCTCATCTGCAGTTGAAGATGCTTTGACAATTGCCTGTGGTTTTGGGCAAGTTTATCACACACAGATATCTCCACAAGGGCCTCAGTCTCCTTTCATAGATCACATGTAGTTTAGTGTCATATACATCATGTATCATTCAACTTTTTACAGGCTAGGTTTTTGACTAAAAAAATTGATTATTGATAGTGGCATATTCTTGCTTTTCTAAAAATATTTCTGACTGCCTGTGGATTCTAAATGTGTTCAGCATGAATACAGAAGATGCACATAGTTTTTCTGGGTTGTTGGTCCTTGGCTTAGCAGACTAGAGGCTCAGTCTACTACCTCAGAATCAGGGGGAGGAAGAAGGCTATCCTTGCCTAATTTAATGAACATCTGCACCAGGGCTTCACTTTTTTTTTAATGCACCTTTTTTCCCTCTCCAAAATTCACTTTTAATTATTTTCTCATTTCATGAAAACTCAACAAAACTAATCTTAAAGATGCATGTGATCAAGAGGATGAACTCTGATGATCAGCAATTAAGGTTCTTTAGAGACAATGTTAAAACTGTGGTGCTACTGTATCCACTTTGTGGTCAGTACTGGCACCTTTAAGGAACAAAATCCATGATCCACACACCAGTCTTTTTTTTAACCATACAGTTCAGGTAACACTGCTTACCTGGCAATAGGTGTTTCGTCCTTTTTAGGACGAAATTTTTTGTTTTTTGAAGCCCCACCCTGTCTTTTGCCAGGGGCCGCAATATAGGCAGGCCATAAATATGGCCAATAGTCTGAACACGGTTTCTGGGACCTCTCCACGGCGATCCTCATCCACATGGTGGCACTTTGTGTCATCAGGTGTTTATCGCTTGTGTAATGTCCTAGTGGGGTAGAAAGTCAGTCAGTCTTCCACACACCATACATCAAACAACAAGCTGAGAGACAGGTATTGTGGTGTAACCAAGCTAGTTGATTCCTATGCTTATTTTCCATAAGTTGAAGCAAAAACTGCACTAGCTTTCAGAAGAAAAAAGAATTTTAAAAATTCAACAAAAATAGTTACAGTGGATTTTCTTCTGCTGGCTGTTATCTTTTTGCAAGTTATTTTTGGATACTGTTGTCATGTTTTATGCTGACTGTTTAATATCAAGTTTTTTTGTTTTTGCAGGCTGTTGTTGATGTGGTAGTGAATCTTCATTTCAACCTGATTGAGAATCTGTGGCAGATCTTCTGGAGAAACCCATCCCCAGATTCCCCGTAAGTTTTAGTGTTGTCTCTTCTTCTGTGTTTGTTCTTACAAGATGGGTTAACATGTTTCGACCCTTCACATCAAATTTCAGCAAACCCCTACTTTATCGCGTTTTAGTACCTGCTTATTAGGAGGTAGTGAATCTGTTCCTTTTTCCCTTAAAGCTTCTTCTTTTACTCTGGTCTTGTTCTGACTTTGTTCTGCTCCAAAACTGACTTTTCATGCTCATTTAGGAATTGAATATCTCATCATGACTGGTCCTTGTCATTAAAGCAGTAACTATTGTGGGGGTTCCTTAACTCCCCCTCCCCCTTTTTTTTTAATCAGTAAAACATATGTGAACAACAGGAACTCTTGGATAGCAGCAACTCTGGGATAGCAGCAACAGAAACTCTGGGATAGCAGCAACAGAAACTTTGGGATAAAAGCAACAGTAACTTAACTCTGTGATATCAGCGACAGAAACTCTGGGATAGCAGCAACAGGAACTCTGGGATAGCAGCAACAGAAACTCTTGGATAGCAGCAACAGGAACTCTGAGATAGCAGCAACAGGAACTCGGGGATAGCATCAACAGGAACTCTGAGATAGCAGCAACAGAAACTCTTGGATAGCAGCAACATAAACTCTCAGATAGCAGCAACAGGAACTCTGAGATAGCACCAACAGAAACTTTGGGATAGCATCAACAGGAACTCTGAGATAGCAGCAACAGAAACTCTTGGATAGCAGCAACATAAACTCTCAGATAGCAGCAACAGGAACTCTGAGATAGCAGCAACAGAAACTCTTGGATATCAGCAACAGAAACTCTTGGATATCAGCAACAGGAACTCTGAGATAGCAGCAACAGGAACTGTGGGATAGCAGCAACAGAAACTCTGGGATAGCAACAACAGAAACTCTGGGATAGCAGCAACAGAAACTCTTGGATATCAGCAACAGGAACTCTCAGATAGCAGCAACAGAAACTCTGGGATAGCAGCAACAGAAACTCTGGGATAGCAGCAACAGAAACTCTTGGATATCAGCAACAGGAACTGAGGGATAGCAGCAACAGAAACTCTCAGATAGCAGCAACAGAAACTCTGGGATAGCAGCAACAGAAACTCTGGGATAGCAACAACAGAAACTCTGGGATAGCAGCAACAGAAACTCTGGGATAGCAGCAACAGAAACTCTGGGATAGCAACAACAGAAACTCTGGGATAGCAGCAACAGGAACTGTGGGATAGAACAGTGGAAACTCTTTCTTCTTTATTAAATGTATATCTCTTTATGATGAATTCACACTCTAACATTGTTGTTTTATTTCATCTGTTTGTGCAGGAGTCTAGAACCATTTGAAAAGATGGAGAAACGCATGTCCAAGGAGAGGCTGTACACTCTATGCCGCTTTGAGCCAGTTGTCAACTGGGTCAGGAAGTCGGACTACACGTTTTACCAGGCTTTGGTTGAGGTGCTGATTCCTGATGTGCTGAGACCCATTCCTAGTGAGTACACGGTTGTAACACACACACACACGTACACACACACACACACTTACATGCTTTGTTTATAAAATGTTGTACTGAGACAGGAAACTGCAGGGGCAAGCTTTCTTGCCTACCAGCCTTGAGATCGGGTGTTTAAATCCCCATAAAGGAGGTATTTAAAAACAAAGGGTCTCCAAGAAGGACTTAGCCTAAAATGAGTATCAGTAAATATTCTAGAAAGTTTTCTTTTTCTTTTCTGTGCCAGTAGATTTTTTGCATGAGAAGACTACAAGTCTTTACGCATGTCTTTCACTGATTCATACATCTTGGTTTCTGCCTGAATACTAACTGGCCAGACCTGGAGTCTGTCTACTGTATATAAGTAAGTAAAGGAAAGGACCCTTTTCCCACACCTTTAGGCAAATAGGGCTAGACCTATATTTTTATAGACCAATCGGCATAAGATTGCCGGCCGCCTCTACTTCCCGGGACTGCACCAGAACCCACTCAGGGCTGGGTCAACCTGGGAGCCAAGGACATGCCTACTGTATATACTGGAGAGTAATTATGAAGACCTAGAGAATTAAGAGGCTAACACAATATGTGTGAATGCATGGAAACAGGTTCTTCAGCTTGTCTCTTGACTGCAGCTGTACAGAACCTGAACAACAGTTATCTGTACTTGTGGCATTCGGCCCAGAATCTACAAGTGTGCTGTTTCCTTTAATAAATCTAGATTCTGATGTTGTGTGTGAAGATAAAGAAATGAGAGGATTTAATTAAGGCGAATGAAAGAAGAAGAAGAGGATTTAATTAACTTTTGAAGTCCAGAATAACATGGTGTCACATTTGTTTGTATTTGGTCTGAGTATACCACCAAAATCTGGCTTGATTTTAAATATGCAGCTCAGTATATATTGCTTTTTTGAGATTAAAATATGACAGCTATTTTGATTGCTGTTGAGTTTCCTGGGATGGAAAGAGTTAAATAAATTTCCACAGTTATCCAGAAGAGTAGTACTAGTTAGTATTTAATATTTTTTTTTTTTTTTAAACTAAGCCTATGTTGTGCTTGTTTACAAATAATTACCGATGAAAATTGATGTTGCTGAACTGAGAACATGCCCCTTTAGTCTCTCCCTGCTGTGTTTACTTATAAAGCCACTGAGTTATTACCTCATCAAATGTTTCTTTTTCTCTGTTTTCATGGGGGTATGGTGTTGGGGGGGGGGGGGGGAATAGACCCACTGTCTCCCCTTCGCCTACAACAAGCTTGTCATTGAGAGGTGAATAATTCGGATTTTTCTGAAATCAGTTGTATTGAGCCAAAGGTGCAAATATCGCATCCTAGCTGTAAAATGCAACATGCTAACTGCCCTGTTAAGAGTGAATGCAGAATACAAAGAAATTCTCCAGACTCATGTTTTAAAATCTGTACCTCCGTAGGCTCACTAACACAAGCAGTCAGAAACTTTGCCAAAAGCCTGGAAGGCTGGCTCAGAAGTGCTATGCAAAATGTGCCTGAGGAAATGTTTAAAACCAAGGTGAGTTGACACCGCTGCTGCGGGATGTTTGTGTCTTCCAGGCCTGGTCTTGTTGGTATATGTTGTGATGTTGTATAGCTGTTTGTGATGTTTGAGGACTGTGTGATGTTTGATGACTGTGTGTGATGTTTGAGGACTGATGTTTGAGGACTGTGTGTAATATTTGATGACTGTGTGTGATGTTTGATGACTGTGTGTGATGTTTGATGACTGTGTGTGATGTTTGATGACTGTGTGTGATGTTTGAGGACTGATGTTTAAGGACTGTGTGATGTTTGATGACTGTGTGTGATGTTTGAGGACTGATGTTTGAGAACTGCGTGTGATGTTTGATGACTGTGTGTGATGTTTGATGACTGTGTGTGATGTTTGATGACTGTGTGTGTGATGTTTGAGGACTGAGTGTGATGTTTGATGACTGTGTGTGATATTTGATGACTGTGTGTGATGTTTGAGGACTGTGTGTGATGTTTGATGACTGTGTGTGATGTTTGAGGACTGATGTTTAATGACTGTGTGTGATGTTTGATGACTGTGTGTGATGTTTGATAACTGTGTGTGATGGACTGTGTGACTGTTTGTGATGTGTGAGGACTGTGAGGACTGATGTTTGAGGACTGTGTGTGATGTTAGAGGACTGTGTGTGATGTTTGAGGACTGTGTGTGATGTTTGAGGACTGTGTGTGTGATGTTTGAGGACTGAGTGTGATGTTTGAGGACTGAGTGTGATATTTGATGACTGTGTGTGATGTTTGATGACTGTGTGTGATGTCTGAGGACTGTGTGTGTGGTGCTGTTGTTGGTTGTTTCTTGGTACCTTTGCTTCTGTCCAGGTGTTGTATTCTGTTGTGCCGTACTGAGTCGTTGCAATCACAGAGCATTGGGAACCTCTCCAGAGCCCGAAGCCTAGGCACTGTTATGCCTGATGCATATCCTTATTCATTGAGGGGAGAAAGTTCCCATCTCTTGCATAGATTCTGTCCTGGTATGTGCAGGTGAATCATCAACAGTCTTGTCCGGTGCCAGGCCAGTCATGGTAACCACCTTGTCCACTAGATAATCTCCATGCCCATTGTCTTGATGGAGAATGATGTAATGAGATGCGGGAGATAGGAGGGTTTGGCTTGAGTTGGTTGAGTTTGGCTTGAGTTGGTTGAGTGTTTGGCTTGAGTTGGTTGAGTGTTTGGCTTGAGTTGGTTGAGTGCTTGGCTTGAGTTGGTTGAGAGTTTGGCTTGAGTTGGTTCAGTGTTTGGCTTGAGTTGGTTCAGTGTTTGGCTTGAGTTGGTTGAGTGTTTGGCTTGAGTTGGTTGAGTGTTTGGCTTGAGTTTGTTGAGTGTTTGGCTTGAGTTGGTTCAGTGTTTGGCTTGAGTTGGTTCAGTGTTTGGCTTGGTTTGGTTGAGTGTTTGGCTTGAGTTGGTTGAGGGTTTGGCTTGAGTTTGTTGAGGGTATTTCTTGAGTTGGTTCAGTGTTTGGCTTGAGTTGGTTGAGGGTTTAGCTTGAGTGAGAGTTTGGCTTGGGTTGGTTGAGGGTTTTGCTTCAGTTGGTTGAGTGTTTGGCTTGAGTTGGTTCAGTGTTTGGCTTCAGTTGGTTAAAGGTTTTGCTTGAGTGAGAGTTTGGCTTGGGTTGGTTGAGGGTTTTGCTTCAGTTGGTTGAGTGTTTGGCTTGAGTTGGTTGAGGGTTTGGCATGAGTTGGTTGAGTGTTTGGCTTGAGTTGGTTGAGGGTTTGGCATGAGTTGGTTGAGTGTTTGGCTTGAGTTGGTTGAGGGTTTGGCTTGAGTTGGTTGAGTGTTTGGCATGAGTTGGTTGAGTGTTTGGCATGAGTTGGTTGAGTGTTTGGCTTGAGTTGGTTGAGAGTTTGGCTTGAGTTGGTTGAGTGTTTGGCTTGAGTTGGTTCAGTGTTTGGCTTGAGTTGGTTCAGTGTTTGGCTTGAGTTGGTTCAGTGTTTGGCTTTGGTTTGGCTTGAGTTGGTTGAGGGTTTGGCATGAGTTGGTTGAGTGTTTGGCTTGAGTTGGTTGAGAGTTTGGCTTGAGTTGGTTCAGTGTTTGGCTTGAGTTGGTTGAGAGTTTGGCTTGAGTTGGTTCAGTGTTTGGCTTGGTTTGGTTGAGTTTGGCTTGAGTTGGTTGAGGGTTTGGCTTGAGTTTGTTTCAGGGTTTGGCTTGAGTTGGTTCAGTGTTTGGCTTGAGTTGGTTGAGGGTTTAGCTTGAGTGAGAGTTTGGCTTGGGTTGGTTGAGGGTTTTGCTTCAGTTGGTTGAGTGTTTGGCTTGAGTTGGTTCAGTGTTTGGCTTCAGTTGGTTGAAGGTTTTGCTTGAGTGAGAGTTTGGCTTGGGTTGGTTGAGGGTTTTGCTTCAGTTGGTTGAGTGTTTGGCTTGAGTTGGTTCAGTGTTTGGCTTCAGCTGGTTGAGTGTTTGGCTTGAGTTGGTTGAGGGTTTGGCATGAGTTGGTTGAGGTTTGGCTTGAGTTGAGAGTTTGGCTTGGGTTGGTTGAGGGTTTTGCTTCAGTTGGTTGAGTGTTTTGGCTTGAGTTGGTTCAGTTTTTGGCTTCAGTTGGTGAAGTGTTTGGCTTGAGTTGGTTGAGTATTTGGCTTGAGTTGTTGAGTGTTTTGCTTGAGCTGGTTGAGTGTTTGGCTTGAGTTGGTTCAGTGTTTGGCTTCAGCTGGTTGAAGATTTGGCTTGAGTTGGTTGAGGGTTTGGCATGAGTTGGTTGAGTGTTTGGCTTGAGTTGGTTGAGTGTTTGGCTTGAGTTGGTTGAGTGTTTGGCTTGAGTTGGTTGAGTGTTTGGCTTGAGTTGGTTGAAGGCTTGTGCTGCAATGGAGGATGAAGAAGAATATTTCTAGGAGAATTCATGTTTCAAACAAAAGTGTGACTTCTATACTGTAGAGGAGACGGTATAGTGCAGAGCTTTCCAGATGTTTCCTGTTGTTGACACACTTCTTAGACAAACATTTCTTGGGTGGGTTCAGGGTCCCCATTTTGGGGAGAAAAAAGAAAAGACCCACTTCCCTCTAGCAAACTTATCATAGGAGTTGTCTAATTAAGGGTGTTTCCTTTTGAAGTTGGCATGCATCTGCCTGAGAAACTAGGAACCAACAGTCTGTAAACAGTTGAACCAGATCTTTCAGATGATTGCACATGCAAGACTTAGGTCCTGGAGCAAAGTCAAAGTCTAGAAATGGATGAACCAACAGGAGTTTTCTTGGGGGTTTACAGCCGGTCTGCGCAAATAACAACAGACAAATATAAACTTGCGACCCAGTTATTCAGTCTACTAGCAAGTCAAAGGCTAGACTAATCCCTAATAAGAGAGACAGGCACACCTTCACACTGCAGCTGATACACAAATGTGTCATGACACACAGTTTGGAAAGCTCTGGTATAGTGAGTCAAGTCAAGATATTGGACACCTGTGATGTTTATTTGTTTGCAGCTTGGAGCCGTGTGTGCCTTCGCCCAGACCCTGCGGCGCTACACTTCACTCAACCACCTGGCTCAGGCAGCCAGAGCTGTGCTACAGAACACCTCACAGATCAACCAGATGCTGGCAGATCTCAACAGGGTGGACTTTGCTCATGTGCAGGTAACTTATACAGCTGCTCCTGCTACAATGGCTACAGCAGTGACATTTGTAGAAGGTTCATCTGAAACAAGTCAACACATCTTTCTCTCACAGGGTGGTTTTCATCTTCTTCTGTGGTCTCCATTCATGTACTTACTCCACTATGAGCCATATACTGGGATGTCATCTCAAGGTCTCTTAGGTTAGCCGAGGTCAACTCAGTGTGGCCACATCTGTTGGAAAGAGGCTAGACAGTCTTGCTGAAACAGGTTGTAGCTGGGGAGTTTTCATGAGGCTTTTGCCTTCATTATGATAGAATGAATTATTAAGAGACATTGATGTCATAGAACTTGGGATACGTTCGTAGGTACTCTGTCTCACTCAGCAGGAGTATGTGAATACTGACTGCCCTAAGACTGCAATCTTCTTTTTCTTCCTCTGTGTTAACGGCGGAAAGTTCTGGTTGTTTGTCCACTTCTTGACTTTACAGCTCTGGATTGTTTGTGTACATCTGTTGATTCCTTGTCTTTCAGGCCGATGCACTCCAACTTAGAATGAAACTCCTAATTAGTTGATTCCTTTGACACGCTTTTAGGGAGGTAGTGAGTCTGTTCTTGTTTACCCCACATTAGAGCTCCCGAACTCACATGTGGAATGTAGTGATGCACCTAAGTTGTTCTTATCTTTGATCAAACCTGCTACAGCCACACACGATGCCAGATTTTAGGAGTCTCTGCAGAGTTGATTCAGTCGCCCCATATTCACCCTCAGCAACCTGGCATATGTGATATTTATTATTTTTCCTTGTCCATCCTTCTTGTCCTGGCCAGTGTTGCCTTGGAGGCCAGTACTTACATTCATTGACTGATTGCCTCAGATCCTGGCCAGTGGTGCCTTGGAGGCTAGTACTTTCATTCATTCCCGTGATTGCCTTAGATCCTGGCCAGTGGTGCCTTGGAGGCCAGTACTTAAATTCACTGATTGCCTCATCAGAGTACCAGCAGTCGACGTTGACGCCGGTTCCAAGCCACTGGTTCTGTATAAGACCGACATCTCAGTGGATGATAACAGCAGCAGAGAATCACTTAATTCAGCTTCGTCACCTCAGAGACAGATTTACAACATCTTACTCAACTGTGCAGGCTTTGCCTCCAAGAACTTATGCGTTTGAACAGACTGCATGACGCTGGACTTTGAGCATAAAGACCACACCGTGGACCTGTCTTAACGCGTCGCCATCGCCAACATCAACATCCTTGGGCCAACCAACATCGTCCCTGGGCAGGTGACAATCAATGGAGATGTGTCTGGTTCAGTGATGAATTTTTAAAAAAAAATTTTTTTTGGGCAGCGTCATGATAGGCGGTGAAGGGTCTGCCGAGGCGAAAATTGTGTTGATAAAACTCTGCTGCACGGTGGTGGAGGTGTAATAGTGTGGGGAATGATCAGTTACAACGGAAGAAATCAATTGATGCACATTGAAGGAAGCTTCCTTGCATGACCATCAAAACTCGTCCCTTTTTTGTGAGCTGCCTGGTGCTGTCCTTGACCTCAGGGTCTTGATATATCGATGGACATCTATCACCATGCAACTATCTGTATCTCCAGATGTCCCTGCTGTGTTTCAGGAATTGACTGTTGTCACAGATGTGAATTTTTGTGTGTAATGAGGTCATCGCAGGTCCGACCTGACAGCAAACAGGTTACCATATAAGTGCTTCGTTCCTGTACCAGTGAAAACCATACAGAATGTCCATCAATAATTGACACAGACTGCAATCTTGCCAAAACCAATAGCATGCATATACATTAAATGCATAAGGAAACTGTAAGAGGTGCTAATACAAACATTGCAGCACTAGAAATGCAGTTATTATCGATGGGAACATCAGTTACAAAAAAATCATTAGTTGCACAGGAAATTAACTGCATTAGTCACCACCATTTGTTTTGACAACAGACTGCTCACTATTTTCTTAACTTGCAATTCACAATACAAACCACTTTAGGCACAGTCAAAAGGCATTCTATGTGAAGTCTGCATCTCACAGTTTTGCACCGTGCACTCAGCTCAATAGCTGGGTGATGGAACTGCATACTTTCAGTCCACATGTGAGGGAAAATGCATGGCTAAGCATTTTTAGAATCAGAATCTTGTCGTGACTAAATTAGAAGTGTGGTTGACCTTGTTTGATCTGAGCTTGGTTTGATTTTTGTACATTTGATACTCCACCCATTGGCACTTCTTCATTCACTTATTTATGGACTCCTCTGCCTGTCATCTATGAGAACCATGGCAGCACCATGAGAATGCCATCATGGAGGCCCAGATTCCATTCCTAGTTAAAGGATTGTTGGTTTTGACTGCATGTTTCCTGAAGTAACCTCAGAATGGTCAGCTAAGATTGCTCTGAGAAGAAGGGAACTGGTCAGTTCATCTTGTAACCTATATCTTGTATGTGAAGCCCTAGCTCAGACAGATGGGAGGTAACTGGTGGTGATGACATGTTTCAGGAGCAGGCCTCCTGGGTGTGTCAGTGTGAGGACCTTCTGGTTCAGCAGCTAGAGCAGGACTTCAAGGCCACCCTGAAGCAGGGCAACTCCCTGGAGCAATGGGCCCAGTGGCTGGAGGGGGTGGTCAACCAGGTCTTGAAGCCACACGAGGGCAGTGAGCATTTCTCCAAGGCTGCACGACAGTTTCTGCTCAAGTGGTCTTTTTACAGGTAAGTCTGGACCTGTGCGCATTTCTTTGTTTCTAGATGTGTTTCTGTCTGCGTCCTCCTTCTCTACTGTGGCCTCATCTGTGGGGGTCCCATAATAGTTGTGTTTCTGTCTGCGTCCTCCTTCTCTACTGTGGCCTCATCTGTGGGGGTCCCATAATAGTTGTGTTTCTGTCTGCGTCTTCCTTCTCTACTGTGGCCTCATCTGTGGGGGTCCCATAATAGTTGTGTTTCTGTCTGCGTCCTCCTTCTCTACTGTGGCCTCATCTGTAGGGGTTCTAAAATAGTTGTGTTTCTGTCTGCGTCCTCCTTCTCTACTGTGGCCTCATCTGTAGGGGTTCTAAAATAGTTGTGTTTCTGTCTGCGTCCTCCTTCTCTACTGTGGCCTCATCTGTAGGGGTTCTAAAATAGTTGTGTTTCTGTCTGCGTCCTCCTTCTCTACTGTGGCCTCATCTGTGGGGGTCCCATAATAGTTGTGTTTCTGTCTGCGTCCTCCTTCTCTACTGTGGCCTCATCTGTAGGGGTTCTAAAATAGTTGTGTTTCTGTCTGCGTCTTCCTTCTCTACTGTGGCCTCATCTGTGGGGGTCCCATAATAGTTGTGTTTCTGTCTGCGTCCTCCTTCTCTACTGTGGCCTCATCTGTAGGGGTTCTAAAATAGTTGTGTTTCTGTCTGCGTCCTCCTTCTCTACTGTGGCCTCATCTGTAGGGGTCCCATAATAGTTTTGTTTAAATAGTAGTGCAATGAACCTTCTCATATTTAACCTGAAGCCTACTTTATGGAGTAGGCAAAGTGAAAACACTGGTGCCTCACTCAAGTCTGTGTGTCAGTAATAAGTAGGATACTGATGTTATATCAGTTGTCCATAGGACATCCTTTAAATGAGTTAAAGAAATATTCTTGACAAATTGCAAAAGTTTGTTTCAGTGTGCCTGTTTGTTTCTTGTTTGTGTTGCAGTACGCCTCTTAATCTCATATGTGAAACTGAAATACCATGAGATTAGATTTCCTGGGGACAGTGACAGACTGACTAGGGAACGACGAATGAACACACTTTTTTTTCCAAAGGGTTCAGAATTGGGCACGCAGACCCGTCTAACATTCGCCCTTCCACTCCGCCCCTTGCATCCAATTATTCATAAGGGAAGGTGGATTAGACAAACTAGGGAAGATGGATTTGACACACAGACTGTCAATTCACACTTGATGACAGGTTTCTCATCTGTAGACACCATAAAGCACTTCTGATGGCAATCTCTTGCCAGTGTGTTTCTGACAATAACATTGAAAAGACAGGGAATGCAATGTTATGGACTTGCAATAAGAAGGGGCTCTCCAGTAGAGTACTGCAGCTCTGTAGAAGGTCAGAGGAGAAGAGAGAGATCTGGATGTAAGAATTATATGACTGGACAGGCCTAACATTTACAAACACCGACTGCATCTGATCGACAGAAGTGGTGAGAACTGATCTGGCAGTCGACAGCAACTGTTGACCAACAGTATGTGACATTGTTGGACTATGGTGATTGGGTTGAATCCTGATAAACGTAGTCATTTTGAAACAGGAAGGTAGTAACCATGACTACAGCTAACATACATTTAGATCAACTTCTAGGACACTTCCCTGGAACATGTTCTCACAGTTGAATGTCATCCACAGTCTTCATCTTCTTCTTCGTTCGCCAGCTGTAAGCTCCGACAGAAGGTCCTGGTTGTTTCGTCCATTTGGACTTTTGCTTTCTGCCAGGGCCTGAGTTTTTGCCTGTACATCCGTTTTACTGGCTTATTTGTGTGCAGTTTGTTTGTTCATTGCTGTTCGGGCAGATGAACTCTGACTTCGAAGGAAGCTACCAATTCGTTGACTTTACGACTTGCTTGTAGGGGAGGCAGTTGGTTCCCCCACCCCCACAATGGGACCCTGGAACCCACACAGGGAGAATCCACAATCTGATATCCAAGTTTCCACTGTAAGGATACATAAGAAACAGGTTTGTCACTATAATTGTAGCATTTTTTTTTTTGGGTGATCGTTGGCTGCTGAAATAATGATGGCTGCTGAGTTAGTGAGTGGTTTGTTTGATGATTCAGAGTCGAGGAAATTGTCACATTTGTGGTCATTTGTGATTTCTCATCTTCTCAGTTCCATGGTGATCAGAGATCTGACCCTGCGAAGTGCTGCAAGTTTTGGCTCGTTTCACCTGATTCGTCTGCTGTATGATGAGTTTATGTTTTACCTGGTGGAGCACAAGGTGGCCACAGCAACGGGGCAGACTCCTATAGCAGTCATGAGTGAGGTCCGACAGGTAAGATAGTGATAGAACACCTGGAACACAGGTGAGGTTAAAATCAGGTCCTGGAGCCGATTCTATCATAGATGCAGCTGAGGATTTTATTGTAGTTCATTATAATCTTCTTTTGGTACTTCTTCTTCTGCTACTTCTTCTTTTCTTTTCTTTTCTTTTTTCTCCTGATTGAGTTTGGCATTGTGAATAGAAATTGGGTGTCCTAGCTTAGCTACATCTTCTGTCATTGCCACTCCAGTTTTGAATCATGAATACCACCTTTATATCTGTTCTTGAGATAAACAGGATCCACATAAAGTTGTCTCATGAATCAGCTGCCTTAATTGCAGTTTGTTGTTTGCTCTTTGCTCCATACTGCATACATCACCATGCACTTCTCACTAGCTAAACAAAATAACATATTTGACAGATCATGAATAAATGTTGCTTGTTAAGATGATGTTAAATTTGAGAATTCAAATCCTTGACTGTTAGTTGCACAAACTTGACTTTCTGAGAGGGCATTTTGTTTGGAAACAGAAACAGATTTGGAGTGTGTGCTGTTCCTGATTTTCTCTTCATGCGAGTTTTAGTTTGTTCAGGAGGTCTGCATTATACTGGCCATTAGCTGTGTTGCCATGGGATAGTTATCTTCCAGTATGAAGCCTTTGACCAGTCTACTGACCACCAAGCTGACCTCTTCCTGGATCACATCAAGCCCACTATAGGTGTCAGTGCCCAATACTTCCCTGATTACATCAAGCCCACTAAACCTGTCACTGCCTACTTCTTCCCTGATTACATCAAGCCCACTAAACCTGTCACTGCCTACTACTTCCCTGATTACATCAAGCCCACTAAACGTGTCACTGCCTACTACTTCCCTGATTACATCAAGCCCACTAAACCTGTCACTGCCCACTACTTCCCTGATTACGTCAAGCCCACTAAACCTGTCACTGCCCACTTCTTCCCTGATTACATCAACCCACTAAACCTGTCAGTGCCCACTACTTCCCTGATTACATCAAGCCCACTAAACGTATCACTGCCCACTACTTCCCTGATTATGTCAAGCCCACTAAACCTGTCACTGCCCACTACTTCCCTGATTACATCAAGCCCACTAAACCTGTCACTGCCTACTACTTCCCTGATTACATCAAGCCCACTAAACCTGTCACTGCCTACTACTTCCCTGATTACATCAAGCCCACTAAACCTGTCACTGCCTACTACTTCACTGATTACCACAGCAACGGGGCAGACTCCTATAGCAGTCATGAGTGAGGTCCGACAGGTAAGATAGTGATAGAACACCTGGTACACAGGTGAGGTTAAATCATGTCTGGAGCCGATTCTATCATAGATGCAGCTGATTACATGTAGTTCACTATAATCTTCTTTTGGTACTTCTTCTTCTGCTGCTTCACTTTACTTTTCTTTTCTTTTTTCTCCTGATTGAGTTTGGCATTGTGAATAAACATGTCTAGCTTAGCTACACTCTGTCATTGCCACCAGTTTTAATCATGAATACCACTTTATATCTGTTCTTTAGATAAACAGGATCCACATAAAGTTGTCATCATGAATCAGCCACTAATTGCAGTTTGTTGTTTGCTCTTTGCTTCCCCTGCATACATCACCATGCACTTCTCACTAGCTAAACAAAAACATATTTGACAGATCATGAATAAATGTTGCTTGTTAAGATGATGTTAAATTTGAGAATTCAAAATCACTAAACTATTAGTTGCACAACTTTACTTTCTGAGAGGGCTGATTGGAAACAGAAACAGATTTGGAGTGTGTGCTGTTCTGATTTTCTCTACATGCGAGTTTTATTTGTTCAGGAGGTCCCATTATACTGGCCATTAGCTGTGCCCCATGGGATCCCTGATTTCCAGTATGAAGCCTTTGACCAGTCTACTGACCACCATGCTGACCTCTTCCTGGATCACATCAAGCCCACTATAGGTGTCAGTGCCCACTACTTCCCTGATTACATCAAGCCCACTAAACCTGTCACTGCCCACTACTTCCCTGATTACATCAAGCCCACTAAACGTATCACTGCCCACTACTTCCCTGATTACATCAAACCCACTAAACGTATCACTGCCCACTACTTCCCTGATTACATCAAGCCCACTAAACGTATCACTGCCCACTACTTCCCTGATTACATCAAACCCACTATACTTATCACTGCCCACTACTTCCCTGATTACATCAAGCCCACTAAACGTGTCACTGCCTACTACTTCCCTGATTACATCAAACCCACTAAATGTGTCACTGCCTACTACTTCCCTGATTACATCAAACCCACTAAATGTGTCACTGCCTACTACTTCCCTGATTACATCAAACCCACTAAACCTGTCACTGCCTACTACTTCCCTGATTACATCAAGCCCACTAAACCTGTCACTGCCCACTACTTCCCTGATTACATCAAGCCCACTAAACCTGTCACTGCCCACTACTTCCCTGATTACATCAAGCCCACTATACGTGTCACTGCCCACTACTTCCCTGGTTACGTCAAGCCCACTATACGTGTCAGTGCCCACTACTTCCCTGATTACGTCAAGCCCACTAAACCTGTCACTGCCCACTACTTCCCTGATTACATCAAGCCCACTAAACGTATCACTGCCCACTACTTCCCTGATTACATCAAGCCCACTCTGCTTATCACCGCTCGCCAATTTACTTAAAAAACATGGAATCTGAAATATAAGTTGCTTTAATTTGTGCAGGATTATGTTGTGGCACAGCGGCTAGACACTGGCTCGCCTCGGGCCCGAAGGTCATGGATTCAGTCTACACCAAGTCAAATTTTTTTTTTTCATAAATGACCTTGGCTTATAACCTGACCCAGCCTAAAATGAGTACCAGGTAAAGTCCTGGGAAGTAAAGGTGGGTGGTGGAGTGTTGACTCACAGAGTGTTGATTGGTCTAGAATTTAAGTCTAGCACTTGTGGGCATGGAAGAGGGTGTTTGACTAATTTGATTGTTGCACGTGAAAACATGATATAGTAGACTGAGTATATGATAACTGTATTTTGTGTTCACAGTTCCATGATCTGAGCGGTGCTGTTAACCTCGGCACGCTAGATGTTGATGATGATGAAGATGATGACGACGACGATGATGATGATTCTTCCAACTCGTCACAGCCATCGATTGTGTCCTCCCAGACTCACGTAGTCCAGCGGGTGTCCATGGTGACCTCGCCCAGTGTCGCGCCGACCCCAGCCACCCTGATGTTGGTCACTTCCAACATGGCCGGCTCCGGGGTCGGAGGTCAGGTACGCCAGGCTGGGGCAGTGGTAGGTCAGACAGGCGCGTCCACAGCGATCACACTGAGGCCCACTGCCAATGGGATTTCTGCCACAGGAAGCTTGGTGGTCCTGTCAGGCAACTCAGTAGCCGGGGCCACCCCAGCCCACTCCGTCAGCGCCCCTTCTCAGGGAGGACTGCCCACCGCCCTAGCCGTGCGCACCGGCACCACGGCAAACCCCAACACAAACAAGACGCACACAATCCTGGTGATGCCGTTGTCTTCCACAGGATCAGCTGACGTCCCCGCTGTTAAAAGAGTTAAAACAGAATAGTTTTTGCTTTCCATGGACGTTTTTCTGTCTCACCAAGACAACCTTAACTCTTTAACTTTCTCAATTGCAAACAGTTGTTGCTTCAGTACTTTGTGTGGCCTTTGGCGCAACAGTCATCCAGTCTAAAGGAGTTGACATAAAACTGTTGGAAAGAATGAGTTAATTACTAGCTTTGAAAAGAGGATTTGAGTAACAGAAGAATGAGACAGAAGAAAGTTAATATATACTGTGTAAATAGACAGATGTAAACATTTGGTGTGTTGCTTCCACCTGCTCAAATCATTGTTGTATCTGCTCTCTGTGGGGAATGAGTTGAATGGATTCGCTGCCAGACACAAACATCTTGTCTTGAAGTGTTTGTATATTTATTCTCTCCCGCGAGAGGCATGTCTCTGCTGTCAGCTGTAGCCAGTCACTTTCTCACACATTGTTTTATGTGATACTTTACAAATGTGAATGAGTCCCTGCTTATTTGTGACTGTCTCTGCAACTGTGATGTGTGGAGTGACGAGGTAGTTAGTGAGTTGAAGACACGACTGCTGTTGACATGTTTGCAATTGTGCTTATATTTCTCAAGTGGACAGCATTTTTATACATAACAGAGTGTGCAGAAATCTCCTACTCTTATATAAAATATTCTTTGTTGAGTTTCTTTCACATCTGGGTCACACCGTAAATAACTGTGTGTGTAAGTTGAGTTTTCAAGCCTAACAGATGTTTGTCAAGTCCAGAGGTTGACTTCTCTTGCAGGCATGAAATGTGTTCAATATTAAAGGCCTAACTCAGACTTTTTAGCTTGCAATCTTGGGATCGACTTGAATGCCAGGTCAACTTGTACACAACAGTTTATGGTAATAAAACTGACAACAGTGTGGAGTGGATGCGTCGGGACCAGTGTTTGGGTAGCATGCCATACACGAAAGGGAAATGGTATGTTTTGTAAAGCTGTAGAAATACAATGAGTAAATTGATAAAACAGAAAGTCAGCTTAAAAAGAACACAGTTATCAGAAACAGAATTAATGTTTTAGCAAGAGAGACTTCATCAGCATTAAACAAAATTATAGGATACTGATACGGTTCTAATTGACACACATTTCATGTCATCATCTCCATGAAAGTGTCTTCTTGTTGAAAACATAAGACTCTCTTTTTTTCTAGACGCCAGAGGTGTATCAGGTATATGATGTTAGGTTCATAGTTCCATCGATCAGTCATCACTTAATGAGTGATGTGATTGTCATCATGGCGGCCACCTTCACTTCCCAGGAAAATTCCTGGTACCTGTTTTAGGCAGCGTCGATGGGGAAGCCTAGACCAACTTGTTTCCAAATTCACCTGGTGTGGATCTGAACCTAAGACATTTGAGTCAGCAGGTAAATGTCTAGCCATTTCACTTCTGTGGCTCCTCTCTTCTCTTGGCACACACTTGATGCTTTCATTGCCTCCACCAGTGCCTTCCTCTGTGCATGCCTGTCATTTATAGACTCCACTTAAGGCATTTCACAATTACACATGCTACGTTTTCATTCTCCCAGGCAGTAGCTTCTCATTTACACATTTCTCTCATTGTCTCCACCAGTGTCTTCTCATTTACACATTTCACTCATTGTCTCCACCAGTGTCTTTTCATTTACACATTTCACTCATTGTCTCCACCAGTGTCTTCTCATTTACACATTTCACTCATTGTCTCCACCAGTGTCTTCTCATTTACACATTTCACTCATTGTCTCCACCAGTGTCTTCTCATTTACACATTTCACTCATTGTCTCCACCAGTGTCTTCTCATTTACATATTTCACTCATTGTCTCCACCAATGTCTTCTCATTTACACATTTCACTCATTGTCTCCACCAGTGTCTTCTCATTTACATCTTTCACTCATTGTCTCCACCAATGTCTTCTCATTTACACATTTCACTCATTGTCTCCACCAAAGTGTAGTCTCATATTTTACTCATTGTCTCCACCAATGTCTTCTCATTTACACATTTCACTCATTGTCTCCACCAATGTCTTCTCATTTACACATTTCACTCATTGTCTCCACCAATGTCTTCTCATTTACACATTTCACTCATTGTCTCCACCAATGTCTTCTCATTTACACATTTCACTCATTGTCTCCACCAATGTCTTCTCATTTACACATTTCACTCATTGTCTCCACCAAAGTGTAGTCTCATATTTTACTCATTGTCTCCACCAATGTCTCCTCATTTACACATTTCACTCATTGTCTCCACCAGTGTCTTCTCATTTACACATTTCACTCATTGTCTCCACCAGTGTCTTCTCATTTACATATTTCACTCATTGTCTCCACCAATGTCTTCTCGTTTACACATTTCACTCATTGTCTCCACCAGTGTCTTCTCATTTACACATTTCACTCATTGTCTCCACCAAAGTGTAGTCTCATATTTTACTCATTGTCTCCACCAATGTCTTCTCATTTACACATTTCACTCATTGTCTCCACCAATGTCTTCTCATTTACACATTTCACTCATTGTCTCCACCAATGTCTTCTCATTTACACATTTCACTAATTGTCTCCACCAAAGTGTAGTCTCATATTTTACTCATTGTCTCCACCAATGTCTTCTCATTTACACATTTCACTCATTGTCTCCACCAGTGTCTTCTCATTTACACATTTCACTCATTGTCTCCACCAGTGTCTTCTCATTTACACATTTCACTTATTGTCTCCACCAGTGTCTTCTCGTTTACACATTTCACTCATTGTCTCCTCCAATGTCTTCTCATTTACACATTTCACTCATTGTCTCCACCAATGTCTTCTCGTTTACACATTTCACTCAGTGTCTTAACCAATGTCTTCTCATTTACACATTTCACTCATTGTCTACACCAAAGTCTTCTCATTTACATATTTCACTCATTGTCTCCACCAGTCTTCTTGTTTACACATTTCAGTCATTGTCTCCACCAAAGTGTAGTCTCATTTACACATTTTACTCATTGTCTTCACCAAAGTGTAGTCTCATTTACACATTTGACTCATTGTCTCCACCAAAGTGTAGTCTCATTTACACATTTTACTCATTGTCTCCACCAAAGTGTAGTCTCATTTACACATTTGACTCATTGTCTCCACCAAAGTGTAGTCTCATTTACACATTTTACTCATTGTCTCTACCAAAGTGTAGTCCCATTTACACATTTGACTCATTGTCTCCACCAAAGTGTCTTCACATTTACACATTTCACCCATTGCCCCCACCAAAGTGTCTTCACATTTTCTAAAACTGCTGATATTATATTTGCTCATAGATTCTTTGTGTGCATTACCTCCCCTGTATGAATTATAATTTAACTCTTTGAGTCCCAGGGGGTTTAGCATCACAGGCCCAGAGGGTAGTGAATAGAGTTATAAAATCAGCACATCATGCGTTCATTGGGCTTCTAGGTAGGAACCTATGAACGTATGACGCGTTCCTTGGGACTCAAAGAGTTAATACATCACCCATTTGTTTCAATTCTTAACACCACAGTTTTTTTTTTTGTTCAGCTTCTTTTTGTTTTTATTGTGTGTGTGTTTTTTTTTTTTACCTTGTAACAACACTGCAGCATTTATTTCGGGTTGGAACTTTCTTTTTGTTTTGCTTTCTGACACATCTCTTTACCCTTGTCCATTTCTATCTACCTTCCTTTTTGTTTTGCTTTCTGACACATCTCTTTACCTTTGTCCATTTCTATCTACCTTCCTTTTTGTTTTGCTTTCTGACACATCTCTTTACCCTTGTCCATTTCTATCTACCTTCCTTTTTGTTTTGCTTTCTGACACATCTCTTTACCCTTGTCCATTTCTATCTACCTTCCTTTTTGACCACTCCTGACCTGAAACTGAATTTGACTTCAAGTTATGTAGGTCACACAAGAGCATTGAACGTAAGCTGTGACATGATCTCATATTATATGTCGCCTATGTCAGCATTGCATTTATGATACTGCTGATGTCCATTTACCTAAAACTTGTGCCAGGGATATGCCAGGTTTTTTTTAACTGATTATTTATGAGAGAAGATTGTTGGCATGTTTCTGGGCAGAAATACTCTGCAGGAAAATAGATAAAAAAAAATTTTTTGTGTATTAAATATTCAGAATTTGGAAATAACCTGAGTGTTTGGAAATGGTAGAAATCTGTTTAGGATCTGTAAAGCTAAAATAAAGTATTTTTTTTTGCAAGGTATAATAAAAAAAATTTTTTAATGAAAATATATCTTAGTTTTACATATCAAGTAAAATGTAAAGAACCTTTTTTGGGTAATTTGTATGGACCAAATCTGGTCCCTGGGTAATGGGATCAGCGTCATGCCAGCGGCCTTGGCTTCCCAGAACTTTACCTGGTAACTGTTTAAAGCTGAGTCTGGGAGCTGAAGTTGTACATATATGGTAGTGAAATAATATTGGTTTTTGAATTTACAATAGCTAGTTTTATATTTGCAGGGATGAAATGGCGCCTTTGTTTTATATTTACAAGGAAAGAGTAACGTAACATTATGGTTCAATTTGCAAAGGGGAGTTATCATAATGTTGCATTTACAGGGGATATGGTTTAAATGCTAATTCGCAAGAATGAAAAAGCTTGAAATTTTACACTATTCCTTTGACCCTTCAGACGAACGTTCTGTTGTGGACTTGTTTGTACAGAATGTTGCTCTGTCTTGTTTGTTTGTCCCTGAGTCAATCTGCGGCATGACTCAGCAGTCAGAAACTGCATCCGTCCATTGTTGACCCTAGTATTGCTCATTTCTCAGGTGGCCACGAGCCAAAGACATCTTTGGGCATGGTAATAGCATTAGTGACCAAATGACCATGTCCCTGTATTTATTATTGAGCTTATGTCGGTGTTCCTAATCTTTTCAGTGGCTCAGAAAGTTTGTTCTCAGCAACGGGGTGATTCCTGAGGAATGCTTGATATATAAACAAAAGATTTGGACATATTCTTGATTAACATGGCACTGTG